CAAAATCGGCGCTACCTCGAAATAGAACATGAGCAAAATAGAACTGTACCAAAATAGAACGAGACGCAAAATAGAACTGCGTGAAAAAGAACTGATCTTTAACTGAACTGTTCTTAATTAGAACTGCTCTTACATAGAACCTCGTGAAACAGAACTGTTCTGAAATAGAACTGCGTGAAATAGAACTGCTCTGGAATAGAACTGTTATAAAGGAAAATAGAACTTTTAAAAACGGAGATAAAACAATAGATTTAAAAAAAAGTGGACATATAAAAGTGGACATATATAGATAAAAAAAAAGAGAATCCTTGTTATCAACTCTTAGCATAAACAAAAGATCTTAAAAGATTCAGATCAGATAAAGAAGCATATGGAGGTCTTGGAATGTTCTGCGCAGCTCGTAACAATCTCGTGTCTTTCTCTATATCCGAAATTCGTCTCGCTTTGTTGACCTAAAATTGATTCGATAGATTTTAATGAGAAAAAAAAGAATGGCTCACTCTAAAGGCAGGGTCCAAAGCAATCTCGGCGGCGTCTTTTGACGTATGGTTATCCTCAAATCGGATCCGTTATTAGATCACACATTTTCAGTGGAGATAAACCATGATACTTTGTAACTAGTGAAAAGAGCGGTGCTAACATTCTACTGAGTTTGTAGTTCTATGTACCGATTTTAAGGTTCTAGAGGAGCAGAACCATTGGGCAGGGGGAAAACATGAAAAAAACACGATCTGTCGCTTGCAGCAATCACAGTTCTATTTTCCTCTATAGCAGTTCTATTCAAGAACAGTTCTAATTCGCGCAGTTCTATTTCAGAATAGTTCTATTTCACGCTGTTCTAATTCAGAACAGTTCAATTATAGAGCAGTTCTTTTTCACGCAGTTCTATTTTGCTCAAGTTCTATTTCGAGGTAGCGCCGCAAAATCACACAGGGTGTGCGGAAAAAGAACATAGAATTCGGAATTTCGAAAATGAAAACTCATAGGACAAAATTCTTGTAGGGAACTCGAAATGAATAGTACTTCTCGGAAATTAATATACGAAATTCTGAATTCGATAAAAGTGACTGATGAGTTTTAAGTGTTTTTTCAACAACGCGAATTAAAAGAACTATTAATTTCGAAATTTCTGTTTCAAATTCATTATCTCTTTGAAACATATAAAATTTCAATATTGACGTTTTGTTACTCATTGTGTTTAAAATTACATTCAAATTGATATGAATTCTTGCAGTTAGGAACTGGGCAAAAAAAGATGACTTTGAAAATAAGAAACATTTCAGCGAAAAGAAAATGCTGTCAATTGTTCAGAAGTATAGTTGATTATAAAGCCTTGGGTCAGCTAACAAGAGTTTCCGTAGATCCAATTAGAAGACAACCAAACCTAGGAGGTCCCAGTGAATTAAGGAACAAATCGGATTAGTGTATTCTCACTTCGTCTTTACTTGACTTCTTGATGTAGTGGTGGTGTAATTAAGAATGAAAGGAGAAGAAGGAGGATGTTCACACCAAAAGAACATGGATTAGAGCGAAAGAGCATAATGGGAACGTCAGAGAAGCATTGAAAGTACGAAAATTTTCATCTTTTTAGGTTATTGAAACATAAATATTTTGAACGGAACTTGAATTCATAAAACTTGACAAATGTTTTCAGAATTCAAATCAAAACGTTTTATGGAAACATTTTAAAGATTTCAAAATAGTTCACAACATTATCATATTGAAAATTCTGGAAACAGTGTTGCCTTAACAAGAACTAGAGACTGTATTAGGTTGGCGGGAAAGTCTTTGTCACTTTTTCAATAGTTTATTTCTCAAAGAAAAAATAACCGAATAATTAATTATATTGTCCATCATTATCAACAACATGTCTCCAACGTTCCCTCAATTTATGGATTCCATTGCGGTAGAATCCAGCCGGGCGTGAGGCAAAGTATTGTTTGAGTGCCGCTTCGACCGCTCCACGGGAATTGAAGCTTCTTCCTTCGAAGGCACGTGTCATATCGCCAAATAACCAATAGTCGGAAGGAGCAAGATCAGGAGAATACGGGGGGTGAGGGAGAACATTCCATCCATATCCCATCAGCTCCTGCTTCACTTGTTTCGAAACATGTGGGCGAGCGTTATCATGTTGATAGTACACTTTCTTGTCTTTCAGGGCCGAACGGTCGACTGCTTTCTTGAGGTTTCGTAGTTGAGTAGTGTAGAGGTCTCCAGTTATTGTTTTGCCCTCGGGCAGAAGTTCCCAGTAGATGGGGCCGTCCACTCCCCACCACACAGAGAGCATAACTTTTTTCGGATGAAGGTCGGGTTTGGGGACATCCTGTGGGCTCTCTCCTTCTCCAACCCACTGGGATTTCCTGTGGTGATTATCGTAGAAGACCCACTTCTCATCTCCGGTTATTAGCCGGTCCAGCCATCGATCGCCCGCGTGGAGAGTGAGAAGAGTAATCGAATCGTCGACTCGGCGGTCAAGGTTGGCTTGAGTCAGGTGATGAGGTATGAATCGGCCAAAAAGTTTTCTCATTCCAAGAGACTTCAAACCTTCAAGGACTGTGCTATGGTGAACTCCGAATGTGACAGCTAGTTCACGGCTAGATTGAAATGGATCCGATTGCAATGCGTGCTACAGCTTGTCCAAATCCAACTCACGGGGTCTCCCAGAGCGATCCTTTTCATCGAGCGAGAAGTCATCTTTTTCGAAACGATGGAACCAATTGCGAATAGTATTGTAGTGAGGGGCATGTGTGTTGTACACATTCTTCAAGAAAGTTTCCGAATCCTTCATCGTGGTGTGAGATAGGAAGAGGTAAATCAAAACATGTCTGATGTGAATAGCAGTGGGAACAAACATATCGTTTCAATTACAGATGAGGAGCAGGGAAGGAGATGGGGACTTGTTTATATGGAAGGTTCTTATCACCTTGTTATTCACTAAAGTCGATATCATACACAGCCTCCATATACGAGAACAGTGATTAAACAAACAGAGTGACAAAGACTTTCCCGCCAACCTAATAGATACATAGAAAAGTGAAAACGCGCTCATATGGAAGTACGGATGAACTAAAATTTTTTAAAACTGGATTCAATTTTGGGATTGTTTGAAACAGTTATTTTTCAAAGAACATGCTTGAGAAAATCGAGAAAAGCAGATTGGTAATTAGAAAGAATCAGTACAAAAAAGTAAAGAGGAGCCTCATAGAGATAAGAACATGGACCTGGAGATGTTTAAAGATGAACATGTGCTTCAACAGTGCCTATTTTGTCAACGAGCTGAAATTGTCAACAATTTTTTTCAAAATTTTTCGAAACTGGAATTTTTCGCAGAAAAGGAATTTCAAACTAAAATCCATTCAAATCCTTTTTTAAAATGAATTTTTTTGCAAGATATCAAATTTATGATCACATCCTGAAGTAATGGCAATTACTCTTTGACTACACCACTCTTTGACTACACCTGCTCTTTGACTCCACATTCTCTTTGACTACAATGTCTCTTTGACTACATTTATCTCTTTGACTACACTTGTCTCTTTGACTACAAAGTCTCTTTGACTACACTTTTTCGTTTTATAGTTCTTTTTGACTGAATTTTTTTGGAATTTCTGGTTTTTTGTCTTATAAAGATTATAGGCTTAAGCTGAAACACCTGTTTACCGGCAAACCGGTTCAGCCTAAGCCTTTAATTTGGACAAAAACTAATAAAATTTTGGAAATCTCAGCGAAACAGTGATAGTTTCGCTGATTTTCTCGAATTTCAGTACTTTTTTCACTTTGATGTTTTTTGTAATTGTCTGTTTTTTGTTTAAAATTATAGGCTTAGGCTTAAATTCTTCTCATTTTCTGTAAGAATACCCACAAAAACTGCTGAAAATTTCAAATTTTCAAGAATTGTAGTCAAAGAGACTTTGTAGTCAAAGAGACAAGTGTAGTCAAAGAGATAAATGTAGTCAAAGAGGCTTTGTAGTCAAAGAGAATGTGGAGTCAAAGAGTAGGTGTAGTCAAAGAGTAATTGCGTGAAGTAATTAGGTAAACACATAACATTTCATAAAAAGTTGCAAAATGAAACAGTAAAAATTAACTTAACCTGAAAGTTTAAACGTTTCGAAAATTTCGTATTTCCGCTTTTTTAAAATTCGGGTTATCCCCAAAATCCTATTTTTGATTCGAAATATTGAGAGACTCTGAAATTCCTAATTTTGAAAACTCGGAGTTTTCCAAGATTTGGAAATTTCGTTTTTTGAAGTTCGGAATATTCCGAGACTCGGAAACTCTGATTTCATCGAATTCGGAATATTTTGAGATTTCAAAATTCAGATTTTCTAACATTTGAAAGATTTCGATACCATTCCGAAATTCCAATTTTTCCTTTTACGAACTCCGTGGAAATAAAATTTGTTTCAAAGTTTTGATAATTTTCTTCGAGAATTTTTACATCTATTAATTAAATTTCATCATCTTCTTTGAAATCTTAACAATGTAAAAAACGAAGAAATAAAAAAGTTAAAAACTTTAGAAAATACTTTCTGAATATAAATTTCCCCAGAAACATCTTCTCGTATAAAAAATTCACTGACATCTCCAAAAAACCCCATTAATCTCCTGTCACAAAATGATAAATTTTCTACTTCTGTGTCGAAAAAAACCGCATTTTTCCATTTTTTCACCTTGAGAAATACCAAAATAAAAATTGACAAATAGTTCTTTATTAGGTATCAGTTTCTTATCAAATCAGATAGAATAAATTGCAAATCTTTGGGTAACAATTGAGATTACTTTTAGAATGACTAGTATTCTTAACTATTTTTCGGAAAGTTTCTAAACGGGTACATATGTAGATAAAAAACAGGCAGAAGCATAGAGAAGGAGAGCGAAGAGGCGAGAAGTTTCCGGGCAAAAAGAGATTTTTGAAGAAAAAAGCACTGGGAAAAGAAGAATGGAAGGTTAAAAAGTGGGCGGGGCTAGATAAGATTTTTCTAAAAAAAAGAAAGAGATTTCTAGACTTGGTCTCCATGTTGATGTGCGCATTTTTTGACAATTTGCTCCTCGCGAAGTTTGACGACTTGCATGAAATTGTTGACCTGAAAAAGTACTGGTTTTGTTACGAAAAAAGCCAATTTCGGAAACTAGAAATTTTCAAAAAACTTTTTTCTTCTGTTTCAAATGAACTGTTAAAAAAAATTTCAATCAATGATATGTAGTCACATTCATAAACGATCCATTGAAAAAAAAACGAATTCACATTGGAAATCCCATTTTTCGAGAAAAATTGTTTCGTTCCAAAAAAAAAAACAAAAATTTACCATTTCAAAAATTCTAAACATTTTTAACAATCCTATTTTCTTAGTAATCTAGTCCATGATTCTTCCATTTTTCCTTCAAAACAGTCGGAAAATAAACATTTTCGATAGTGAAACAAACAGTGAAACAAGAAAACGCACGGAAATTGAGGAAAAAAAATCAGAGAATGATAATATTTTTGGGTTACGGTAGTTGCCTTTGTGGGCGTTGAAACAGTGATTTCCTATTCTAATGATTCTAAGAATTTCTAAAAGCACTGTTTCGAAATGGCTGTAAAATTTAACCACTAAACTTTAGATTTTAATTTCAAACTTTCTAATACATAGAGTAATGTTAATGAGTGCAAAGTTGGCAAGACCTGGAATTATACATTACAATTTTTATTAGAAGATCGGCCTTTCTTTGAGAGTAGCCCTCTAATTAAAGGGTTTTTTCAATGTACACCCGACAGGCCTTACCATTACATAAGCTCTTCAAACATGTTAACAAATGTTTTAAAGGTTTGCTATTTCAGACAGTCACTATTCCAAAAACTAATTTATTATTACAAAAAAAGGTATGAATGGATTCTTTCCAATTTTGAATCGATCATGCTATCATAGACGGAACTTTCTCAGAATTTTCCCACTATCTTCCATTAATAATACTTTACTGTAGTTAAACCAACCAAGATTCACCCTTAAGTCCCAATCTTACCCGGTGAGAATCGACCCAGCTTAGCAATTCTGATGACACGAAGAACATGAAGAAGACGGACGGTGAAGAACGCCCATCTGACTTTTCGAACATTTTTCCACTGATTCCACAAACCCAAAGAAGAAGTTCAAAATAGAATGGAGCAATCGACAAGAGATCGATGACGTTGAGGATTTGACGAGCGAACGCTAGCTGGAATTAATGGACATGGATACAAATGAACACAGGAATGTAAGGAATGTAGAAGTCGAAAACTGTTGAAAAAAACTGTTTCAACATTTCTAAAAATTTTGAAACAGTAATAGTTTCCTGATGGTCGTCTTGTAAGATGTAATGTTGATGAATAGGCAATTCATTTTGATAGATATTTTGTTTTAAAAATTTCAAATAGCCTTCTTTTGTTTTTTAAAACAATTAATTTCTGTTTTATTGTATTTCCGATACGAATCCTTCTTTAAACATTTTAATGCTTTCCATTTGATGTGCGTTGTGGGAACTCTGGCAGTTTTTTACCAGAACAATAGCAAAATACAAATGCACAGGAAGTTGATAGCCTGAAGAACTAGAAAAATATTTTTCTTCAAATTTTCAGAATTTTTGAAACTGTAAATTTCTGTTTGTTTCGGCATACAATTATGTTTTTTTCACAAAATATATGAAACAGTCTAATGTGAATATTTGTACGGCTCAAATTTCACATATCGTCGAGTGTAATTTTTCAAGAAGTTTATTTGAAACAGAAAACATTTTTAAGTTCTCAAAATTTTCGAAATTGACATCATGTAACAAGCCAAGCATTTTTTCAGGTCAACAATTTCATGCAAGTCGTCAAACTTCGCGAGGAGCAAATTGTCAAAAAATACGCACAGCAACATGGAGACCAAGTCTAGAAATCTCATTTTCCCAAAAATCTTATCTTGCCCCGTCCACTTTTTTAAACCTCCCATTCTCGTTTCCCCCGTTCGTTTATCTTCGAAATCTCTTCCTACTTTTCCCGGAAACTTTTTGTCTCTTCGCTCTCCTTCTCTATGCTTCTGCCCGGTTTTTATCTATGTACCCGTTTAGAAACTTCCAGATATTTCAGGCTTTCGAAGTGAATGAGATTCTGATTTCCGAATATTTTTCCAATTTGATTTTTCCAATTTCGGAATTCTGTAAATTTGAGTTTTTAATGTCGAAGTTGAGAACCCAAATTTCAGAATTCTCCCCGTTAAAGTTAGGAACCGCGGACACCGTTTGGCCAGCGGTTGGTTTACGGAAAAATCCAACAATTTCCCATGTACATCTGTGTATCCAGATGTCCTCTTACCTTCCACTATTTACTCTGCGAGTGCCCCTCAAGAATCAACCATAATCGAAGACGAATGTTGGCGCATCGGACGCCAATGAAATGACCCTTTTCCTGAAAATATCTATTTTTTTCAATTTTTTTTCCAGAAAGTTCTATGTTGATTGAGTGTTGGTTGGTTATAAATTTAAAGTCTGGTAAGAAATAGTTAGGATTATAAAGGATGCAAAAATTGTTAGTTCTTCGAATTATCATTCTTCTACCTTCCGGAGTTCCGCGGCTTCATCCTAAAAATTGGTATTGAGGGTTACTGTAGTTTTCTTTTTGGGTGAAGGGTTTAGGGGAGGTACTAGGAAGTTTGAAGCGAAAAAATTGCTGTTTCAAAAATTAAATTTTTATAACGGTTTAATTTTGAAAACATTACTTCCATTTTACACTTTCCATCCCCAGCCCTTCAATCTCATTTCTTCTCTACTCCATCCCATATTCCTCATACTTGCTCCTTTGAATCACGGTACCCACCGTATACTTTGGATCACCACCCATCGTGGCACCATACTGAGCAAATGGTGAGCCACACTCACCGATTTACGATTTCGAGACGAATTTTTAACCTTGAGAAATGCCCCACAAAAATTGACAAATAGTTCTTTATTAGGTATCAGTTTCTTATCAAATCAGATAGAATGAATTGCAAATCTTTGGGTAACAATTGAGATTACATTTAGAATGACTAATATTCTTAATTATTTTTTCTGGAAGTTTCTAAACGGGTACATAGATAAAAACCGGGCAGAAGCATAGAGAAGGAGAGCGAAGAGACAAAAAGTTTCCGGGAAAAGTAGGAAGAGATTTCGAAGATAAACGAACGGGGAAAACGAGAATGGGAGGTTTAAAAAAGTGGACGGGGCAAGATAAGATTTTTGGGAAAATGAGATTTCTAGACTTGGTCTCCATGTTGCTGTGCGTATTTTTTGACAATTTGCTCCTCGCGAAGTTTGACAACTTGCATGAAATTGTTGACCTGAAAAAATGCTTGGCTTGTTACATGATGTCAATTTCGAAAATTTGGAGAACTAAAAAATGTTTTCTGTTTCAAATAAACTTCTTGAAAAATTACACTCAACGATATGTGATTCCTCAGCAATATTCCAAAAGTTTAGAAAATGAATTCACAGTTGAGAATACTGTTTCAAATAATTTATGAAAAACATTATTGGGTGCCAAAACGAATAAAAGTTTACAGAATATCGAGAAAAGGGTCTGAAAATTAAGAAAAAAAGTTGCCTTTGTGGGACCTTTGTCCACCAACGTTTCTTTTCTAAGTTCCCGAATTTTTTTGCACAAATCCTTAATCGACCCACAAAATTACTGTTTCAAAAGTTGGATTTTTGAAACAGTTATTTTCTAGTCTAGTGTTTCTAAGAGATTCTAAAAGTACTGTTTCGAAATAGCTGTAAAATTTAACCACTAAACTTTAGATTTTAATTTCAAACTTTCTAATACATAGATTTATGTTAAAAAACCGGGAATTTTATTAACCCAAAGTCCTTACCATGATAGTAATTGGAAGTGCCAGAACCATAACTCCACATACGATGGCTCCACTTCCGACTAGTTTTCCAGCTACAGTAACTGGCACAAGATCTCCGTATCCGACAGTGGCCATGGTCACAACGCACCTGGAATTTTTGAAGCTCACAAACAATTAGATTCCATGAAAAAGCCAAAAATCTGAAAAAATCCAAAACTTACCACCAGAAGGTAGCTGGAATACTGGTGAATTTGGTTCCAGGTTCGTCTCTCTCCAAGAAATAAATCAAAGTTGAGAAGAAGATTACAACAGTCATCATAACAATTCCAACCATTTGCATTTGTTTTTTGGATTTTCGGATTGTGAGAGCAAAGTTGGCAAGACCTGGAAATGTTTATTCAAAACAGTAATCCTGAAAATTAACTACTGTTACAAAAAAAATTCACAATCTAATTTCTCAAAGTCTGAAATGATACTGACATTGAATTGTGTATTAAATGCGCTCATCTCGTTTTTTTTTTGGATTTGTACAAAAAATTGTCATTTACAAAAAAAAGCTTTAATTTTGTTTAGTCTCGTCTGAAATTTTCAGACAAGTTAAGCTACTCTGCATTACTTTTTAAAGGCTCCAAACTTGACGTCTTTCCCTGAAAAATATCATTTACTGTAGTTCAAAAAATCTTACCTGGCGAGAATCGACCCAGCTTAGCAATTCTGATGACACGAAGAACACGAAGAAGACGGACAGTGAGGAACGCCCATCTGACTTTTCGAACATTTTCTCCACTGATTCCACAAATCCAAAGAAGAAGTTCAAAATAGAATGGAGCAATCGACAAGAGATCGATAACGTTGAGGATTTGACGAGCGAACGCGAGCTGGAAAACACAATCTTCCTTATATATATAAAACGCTAGGCGCGTCTGTCCGTCTCGATGTCACGCTGTCATCTTTTGTGCTTTTAAATAAGAGTTTGGCCGCTACCAAAACCGAACCCGCGGCCTGCCGCACAATAGCCGCGCACGCACACAGCTGCGCCAAAACGCTGGAGGCGCGGCAAAAAGAAGGCTGGTGGATTAATAGACAATGAACCAACGAACTGTTGAAAAATTAGCCCAAATTTCAAAATTGTTTGAAACAGTAATAGATTTCTGATTAGTTGATCGGAATTATATCTCAATAAGAACGAAATTGATTTTCGTTGAATCCTAAAAGCTATTTTTATTTATAGGAGTTTGGCCACTGGCTATAACATAATTTGCAGACATTTTTTCTTACTTCACAAATTTCAAATTCGAAAGATTTTCAAAACGCAATTATTACCTCAAAATGTAATTACTGTTTCAAAAATTGAATATCAATTGGAACAGGGAAATTATTTCGTTGAGCCGTGTGTCGTTCCACCGTTCGAAATGCACTTAATTTCCTACCGGTGTCAAAATTAACTTTCAGCTTACTGTAGTTTTGGTTTTGAAATCTTCAGCAACGGTAACTAGCCTTGGAATGAATGTCTCCATATCACTTTTAATGAAATTCGAAAATTTTCTGTTTCAAATTTCCGAAAATCTCAGACCACTTATCTCTACCGTAATCATTTAACAAACGCTCAATTCTATTGGACAAACCTTTCTTGGTGCCACAATAAATCGCATCGCGTATTCGATTGAGAAATAAATGACACAGACGTTTTCAACCCAAGTGAACACTGGATGCTCAGTCATTTCCACCTGAAAATATTCATTTTTTATTATTTTTGATCTACCCAAATTTAAACAGATAGTAGTGTTTGAAAAAGTGTTAGTCGAGTTGTAAATGACAAGAATAATGATGCTCTCTCTTTCTAAGAATATAGAGTGGAAACCGACACATAAAGATAGTGGTATTCATATATTCTACCTTTCCATTATATGATCTTGTCGATGAATCACTTATATCATCGCTCGTCTGTAATTGGAGGATTAAATAAGCTTTCATTTTCTTTTTGAAAAACCGAATTAAACAAAATATCATGATCGCAAACTAACCGAATTATCCGCCACATCCCTCACAACTGTTCGACTTTCAATTGTCTGTCCTCCACCATTCGGATATGTTGGATACGTGGCAGTTGCATACACCAATTGACCGTCTTCTGATTTCTGGGGAACTTGGAATTCTGGAATCGATCCAAGGATCAGAGCAGAGATGGAGAGAACGACGAATGCCGTGGAAATCACTTCGAAAGCCTGAAAAAAATATATTGTGCGTTGTACCGTAACTGCTCTCTTGAAGCCGACCTATACTTCCACTTTGATCACAATTATCTCGGTTCTTCTGAGAGATATCGAAAAATTGTTGACTGATAAAAGGTTTATCGTTAAATAACCAAAAAATTATAACAGTTGATAAATGTTTGATCCCTCTGATAGGAACCGAAATAATTGAGCTCAAACTGTGCCTATACAGTGATTTACGTTAAATGTCACAAGAGTATTTTTTTTACCAATCACTGGTTATCGAAACTTTCCATGGAATGGGGAATAGTTAAAAAAGTTATATGTTTAATACTGGTTAAAACATAAAATATCGGTTTCTGTTCAAAAAACTACTTCAAAATTCACAAACTTCCCAAGTTCGATTAGTAATAATATCACTGTTTCAAAATATTAGGGGTTTGCAAAAGTAATGCGCGTCAAGTTTGGTGTTTTGTATCTCACCCAAAACAAACGGTTTGTGTTCAATTTTTTTGTTTTAAAAAGCGCGTTCTTGGGCTTCATTTTGTTATATTATATTGCTGTTTCAATTTGATTGCTATGAAAAAAACATCCTAGAAGATGTCCGACCAAAAATTTCGCCTTCGAGCATTTTTGTGGCACCAATTTAAGGAAGGAAAATCGGCTGCCGAAGCTCACGGCTCACTTTCTCCTGTATTCGGTGAAGAAGCTATATCCGAAAGTCAGTGTCGCCGCTGGTTTCAGCGCTTCAGGAGCGGAGATGAAAGATTGGAAGATGAATCGCGCCCTGGTCGTCCAGAGCAGGTGGACAACGATGCCTTGAGAGCAACAATTGAAGTGGATCCTTGCCAAACTACTCTCAGTCTCTCGGAGCAGTTCGACTGCGATTTTTTCCACAATTTCCAGGCATTTGCATGCAATCGGAAAGACAAACAGATGTGGAAAATGGGTCCCTCATGAGCTTTCCGATTCAAACAAGGAAAGACGTGTTGAAGTTGCCAATATTCTGATGCGCCGCTCCAAAAATCGTGGTTTCTTCGATTCGATTTTGACATCGGATGAGAAATGGATTCAGTGGGACAATAATGGGAGAAAAAAACAGTGGCTGAGTCCTGGCGAGACCCCGAAACCGACTCCAAAACCGGACATCCACGAAAAGAAGGTGATGATATTTGTCTGGTGGAACACACGAGGTCTCGTGCATTTTGAACTTCTGAGACCTGGTCAAACGGTGATTGCGGACCTTTACAAAGATCAGCTGGACCGTGTGGACCAAGCTCTCAAACGCCAAGGCGTGGACACTTCGACAACACTCTTGCTCTATGACAACGCTCGACCACACACTGCAAAAATCATTCAGCAGAAAACTCAGGAGCTGGGCTGGGAAGTGCTGCCTCATCCGACATATAGTCCCGATTTGGCACCATCGGACTATCACCTATTCCGATCCATGCAACATCATCTGGCCGAGAAAAAATTCGAAAGCGGTGAAGAAGTGCAAATTTGGGTGGCGGACTATTTCGAGTCACAGCCAGAGGAGTTCTTCAAGAAAGGCATCGCTGAATTACGCACACGTTGGCAGCAAGTAGTGAACAATAATGGAGAATATCTTATTGATTGATGATCTCTTGTTTTGGTTTTACAATAAAAGAAAGTTGCATCAAAAACGCGCATTACTTTTACAAACCCCTGATAATTGCAAATTATTTGAAACGGAAAAAAGTTTACTGGAATCCGTTCCTTTTTCCAATTCGAATTATTTCGAAAATCTGGTAAATATCACGAATAACAGAAATCCAATTCCTCTTTCTGTGTATCCAGATGTCCTCTTACCTTCCACCATTTACTCTGCGAATGCCCCTCAAGAATCAACCATAGCCGGCGACGAATGTTGGCGCATCGGACGCCAATGAAATGATCCTTTTCCTGGAAATATCATCATTTTTTGAATTCTTTTTTTCAGAAAATTCTATGTTGATTGAGGGTTGGTTGGTTATAAATGTAAAGTCTGGTAAGAAATAGTTAGGATTAAAAATGAGATGCAAAACTTTTAGTTTTTTGAATTATCATTCTTATACCTTCTGGAGTTCCGCAGCTTCATCCTAAAAATTCGATTTTTAGGGTTACTGTAGTTTTTTAAGAGTTTAGAGTAAGGTACTGGGAAGTGAAGTTCTCAGGAAAAAATTGCTGTTTCAAAAACTAAATTTTTATAACGGTTAAATTTTGAAAACATTGTTTCCACATCTCTTCCTCCGTCTTCCTTGTCATTCAACACCTTTCCTTCTTTTCTCCATCCCATATTCCTCATAATTTCTTCCTTTGGATTACGGTACCTACCGTATACTTTGGGTCCCCACCCATCGTGACACAATACTGAGCAAATGGTGAGCAACACTCATCCATTCGCGATTTCGAGACAGCCCAGAAACGGAGCTCGGCCATGAATTTGTCAAAACACAAATCCTTGGGAACATGCAGTTTTCCAGTGGCATAGAAATCGTAGATCGGGTCAAAGTATCTGAAAAATTCACTCTTTGAAAAAGAAGAAAAAAGAGATTTGTTATGTTTTTTTGTGAATTCTTTCTCTCAATGGTTCCCGCGAGCTCCATTCTTAATTAATGAGTTTTTGCTCCATAACAACTGACGCATTTTTTTCGGAAAGAAGAGACAACACAAACTACAAGGGTGTCTTTCTTTCCACTCAGACACATTACACATGAAAACATACCTGGGAACTCGTTCGAAAAAATACTCGTCCTGGTCCTCAAAGTACCAGTCGGCCCATTGTCGACGGTGTTCGTGGTTCATGCGGCAGAAACGACCTGTAAATTAAGGAAAAATACTGATTAGATAATAACGCAGTTCCCAATAAATGTTCATTTTTTGAAACCGAAATTTTTTGTGGTAACTTTTGTTTTAGTACAAATAGCATTAAAACACATCACTGTTTCAAATTTTGTGGAATTCTGCATAATACTGTAGATGTATTATTAGAGAGTACTCATCGGATTGTTTTGATTAGCATACCAGAATCGAAAATAAAACACACAGTTTCAAATGTTTTCAGGAAGGTTTTTTATAAATTTAGAATAGAAAAAGACTGACTGAATAAAAGTTTACTTTTCAGGGAAATAATTCGGAGGGTACAAAAATTTAGGGGTCATTGGAGTACAAAGCAATTTAGGGGTACAAAATCTTCAATTCGGGGGTACAAAATACTTGAAAAAAGCTTAGTTTTGTACCCCCGAATTGTGAGTTTTATACCCCTAAATGACTTTGTATCCCTTTGTACCCTCGAATATACTTTAAAAGTTTTTTTAAAAAACAATTTTCCATACGATTTTTTGTTTTTGTTCAAATGCAATCAAAAGACATTACTATTTCAAATTTTGTGGACTTTTGCAGATGTACAATGGGGCGAAATTCACCTGATTTGGAACTTTGTGAAGAAGAAAAATTTTGAAGTTTTTAAGTATGTGGAAAAAAAAGTATTAGGAATTTTAATGGAATCTGTGGACATTTTTATTTCGAAAAACATAACTAGGTATGTTAAAATTGAATAATGAGCAGTATATTCAAATTCTTTCAGAATTAAAAACTCATTGAAACAGGTAGTTTTTAGAAAATTTCATGCAACAGATTCAGAGGAAAAAAGGAGCAAGGGGAAAAATAGTTACTACTAATTTCAAAAATTCAAAAAAAAACTTTTTACTCACCCAACAAAGTTTTTGGCCCGAACTTGATGATGGATCGTGTCCGAATACGGTAACTACTTCCACCAATGTTCAACCTGAGAATCGAGTCCGGCGTGTTGTCACGGATGCTTCCCTTATGACTTGGCCGCTCCAATGGGATCATTCGGCTCTCCACATCCTCGTCGTACATTCTAAATTTTACGATAATGGATTGGAAAAATATAATGTTAGCGGGACTCACTTATTGCTTGACCGATCATCGATGCTGGCTCGGTCTGGCTGATTGTCAACGGAATTCTCCCGTTCACATCCTGAGACGGCAGCCATTGATGTGCTACCGGAGGCGATTTGTCTGAAAATTGATAAGATATAGGAAAGTGATATTGTATTGCTAGGGATCATATTTCCCTTAATTACAATTACCGTATTTGCTTAGAAGCCCATCCAATATGTTTACTTTCAACTCGTTTATTTCAGTTAATTTGAAAGATGAAAAATCGGTCAACTGGTAAAATATTTATCATAATATCACCAATATTTTATCAGTTAACATATTTTAGATATCTCTTTTAGGAACCTAGATAATTGAGCTCAAAGTTAGCCAAAGGTTCAATGTTTAACGCACATCCCTGAAGCCCACCCAACCCGTCAGCTTTGCGCTCAATTTCCTCTGTTCATAAGTGATATCAAAAATTTGTCAATTGATAAAATATTGGTGAAGTTATGATAAACATTTTAACAGTTGACAAATTTTTGCTATCTTTCACAAGAATCGAGATAATTGAGCTCAAAGTTGGTCAAATATCGAAGTTTTACATCCATGAAGCCCACCCAACCTGTCTGCTTTTGCGCTCAATTTTCTTGGTTCATATGAGAGATATCAACAATTTGTTAATTGATGAAATATTGGTGGTTTCATGATAAATATTTTATCAGTTGGAAAGTTTGATATCTTTTGAAAGACATGAGATAGATAGGCTCAAAGTTTAGGCATGTTTAGACCTTTAATCGCGCCGAAGGCGCACCAACCAGCTGTTTGATGCGCCAGAGGCGCGGCAAACATTCTGGTTTTCAATTCAACAGTTTATTTAACTTTCCCACATCCCTTATCACCCGTTTTCAGAGAAACTCACGCCGCAACAGTTGGTGCAATCAGCAATGCCATACGAGAATCTAGTTACAAAAGAATATGTAGATTTTTTTTTGAAAATGTTCAGACGAGATTTTCCAAGACAAAAGAACAAGAGACAAAGAACACAACGAGTTAGTATAATAGTTATTGACACGGACCTTGCAGACCAGGGACAAATACACAAGTGGTGGTGGTGGCGGGGGGAGGATGACGGCTTGATAGACAGTAAGAGTAAGAAGTGGGCGGAGTCTGAGCAGTCGGGAATGTGCTCTCCCCGATGGGTCGTAGCCAGAGGAGAGAAAAAGAAGAAGGATATAAAAGTTGGTGGTGGTAGAACAATCTCATTTCTTGGAGTAGTAGTAGTAGTACCTAGAGCTAATCGAACTAAAAGTGGAAATTCAAAGTCGTGTCGTAAAATGGAAATCATTTGGGTACCGGGTTACTGTAGTTGTACGAATTTGGATGGATGGATTTAGTACATGAGAGAGGTCATAAAGGCGGAGAAAACACTCAAATAATTGCTCTTTGGGTGTCATAAACTGGTTTATAGGGGGGAGACAGAGGTTGAAATGGAGGAGAAATGGACAAGAGTGAAAAAGACACTGGGACAAGATGTCGAACATCAATGAGCGATATTGAATTACAAGATGATAGAGGGGACATCGGGACACTTGGAAACATGGAAAAGGAACTTCAAAATTGGAAATTCTTAAGGTTTTGAAAATTGCTCGACTTTCTAATTTAAGTACGCCATAAATTGAATTAGAGTCGATTGTTTATAAAAGTTTGAAAGTTGAAACAGAGAAAAAAAAGCTTTGTATTTCAAAAATTTAAAAAAAGTCCATTGATAAATTTCACTTATTAGACAGACTGGTACTCGACGATAATCTCCATAATCAATTTTTTACCCAGAGGATATATCAAAAAGATCGTTAAAATTAATTGTCCAAAATATTCGTAAAATTTTTGAAACAGGAAAATAGTTTCCCTGTAATTTTGCCAATAAAGGAGTTGAACCTATGGCAAAAAATTGGGGATGCCGATCTGATACCAGTGACAATTACAACTATGGAATTGAAAAAATTCTGAGATTCTGAGATTCTGAGATTCTGAGATTCTGAGATTCTGAGATTCTGAGATTCTGAGATTCTGAGATTCTGAGATTCTGAGATTCTGAGATTCTGAGATTCTGAGATTCTGAGATTCTGAGATTCTGAGATTCTGAGATTCTGAATTTTCGAATTTCAGTTCTTCGATTCTTCAATTCAACGATTTCTGATCTTCCCCAAAATCTCTTATCTTGTTATCACCTCCTCTCAACCCCTATCATCTTATCAGAAAGAGGGGTTCAAGTGATACTCCGAATCCCATAAACCCCGTATCACTCTTTTTTTCCGTGTCTTGTCCCTCCGGACTGATCTTCAAAAAGCTACTCTTCTCCTTCTTCCTGGTCTAATTTTTCTGTTACAACAAAAATAAGAACAAGAACTAGAAGAAGAAAAAAGTACATTAGAGCACACACGTATACACAGAAAAAGTTGTGCTTTGGAACAGGCTAGATTTTCGACCGTTTGACAGAAAACAGACGGCGGGCGGCAGAAGGGTTAAAAATAGTGATAAGATGGGAAGATATACTCTCAAGCACACAGATCATTATATCAACTTGTGATTTTTGAAAGGAACGTGGGATTCATGGGATTCGGAGATGCGGTCCCAAACGAGTTTTGATCAGGAGCAAAGATCCGCAAAGATCTCATGGATCCTAGGGATCTGAAGTTAAGCTCTAGAGAGCTTTTATCCAAAAACTACTTACTATGAGATCAACAAAAATATGCGGTTACTGACAAACCATAAAATTTTGCGATTTTCAATTTTTTGAAAATTTTTGAAACAGTGATTTTCTTTTTTATCAAAATATCAGCAGTACTCGATAAAAATTGTAATTTGACTTTTTCAGAGAAAAATAACTTTTTTGTACAAATCCAAAACGAGAGATAAGCAATTCTAAAGTGGGGCAACTATCATGTCATTGCTAATTGTAGCGAAGATAATGTATCCTCTAACAAAAGCTCACCCGAACTGTCAACTTTAAGCTCTATTATTTCTGCTGCTATAAGAGATATCAAGAATGTGTCAACTGGTTAATTATTTCTCATAATATCACCAATATTTTATCAGTTCACAAACTTTTAGTATCTCTCACCGGAATCGAGATAATTAAGTTCAAAGTTTACAGTTTGGGTGAGCTTCTGTTAGGGAAAATACGGTGTTTTTATCTGGTACTGTTTGTATTTCCGATTGAAAATATCACTGTTTCAAATTTTTTAAAAAAATTTTAACAAAAATTTAACATTACTATATCTTCTTCGTCATTTTCAATGTTTTCAAAAAAGTCCTAAAAACTCCCACAGGGAAAAAACGAAATATTTTCTGTTTCGAAAATTTTCAAAAATCGAAAAAAATACTGATCCTTTGTGTATATATCCTAAAAAAGGATCCTAAAAATCAGATTGAAAAAAATTGAACTTCAAGCGACCAAAAAGAAAAAATTTTCCATTTTCGTATTCCCACCAAATTTCTCAGTCCTTGATGCTCCAGAAATTGCTAGCTTTGGCGGGAATTCAAAACATAATTTTGATAATTATCTAGAAATTTCTAAAAATCAAAGTAAAATTTCGAAGATTTTCGCCAAAATCCAATGGCAAATTTCCCTGTTTCAAATTTTTTTTTGGAAATCTTGAAACAGTAAGATTTGAACATTCAAGACATTCTTCTTGTTTTATGAGAAGTTTGAAAATTGATCTGGTTAATTTTCTAGAAGTTTCTGAAAATCAACGTAAGTTTGGAAGATTTCCGACAAGTCCTAATGAGAAAAATTCACTGTTTTTACTGTTTCAAATTTTTGAAAAAGTTTGGAACAGTAAAATTTGGACATTGACTTCAAGTTCAAATCAGCTGATTAAATTTACGGTTTCGAAAATAGTCAAAAATTGAAACATATGACATTTTTGGACATAGGACCTTCAAAACACAAAAAACTTGGGAATTCTTTTAGAAAATGTTTATACATAAATCTTTTTCTAAAAGAGCAAGTGAGCAAAAATTACTATAAACATTTCTGATCTTTTTTTTTAGCATTTCTAGAAATTATAATTTTGCTTAAATTATGCGAAAAAAATTTCAGAATCTCATTTTCAGAATTTCCGTATACATTTGCCTCCATCTTCTCCATCTTCAAAAAAAAAGTAAACAGAAAAAATCAATTTATAAATTATTCAAAATGTTTTGAAGTGTCATTTCTGTGTGCCGTTCCTTTTGATGATCCTCTGCTCATTTAAACAAAAAATATTATTCAAAAGTCATATATATTTTTTGGTGGAGAAAAAAGAGGGAATTGTGGATTTTGATCGAGTGTCTTGTTTATTTTTTAGTGGGATGGGAATTTTAAGTTTTGAGAAATTCAATACACTTTTTTGGCAGATTCTGGAGTCAGAAAGAGGGAACAAATTTTCCAATTTTTTAAATATTTTTTACTGTTTCAAATTTAATAAAACGTTCAGAAAAGTTTTGAAAGTCTTTAATTCCTCGGTGTGATTGTAGAAAATTAGGCAGAAATAGGAAGTTTTTAGTTTTGTAGATTTTCGGATAGTAATCACAAGAAAGTTTCTAAAATTATCAAATTTTTCTAGAAACAGCTAAAGTTTCTAATTTTTAGCAATTTATAAATAAAAACTTGATGTTTCAATTTTTGGATATTTTGAGACGGCTCTATGTATTTTTAATTATTCTCGCTCACAGAGAGAAATACAAACTACATAGCCAAAGTTGATCTACCATGAAAACATATGGTTTTGGCAAGCTTAAAACTCTTAAACTCGGCTTTTCGGCTTTTTTAGTTTTGAAATTTTCAAAATTTCAGACCTGATAGTCCCGAAAAGTAGACCAAATGTTGTTCTTGTAGTTTGAGTTTTTTGTTTGTGAAGTTATAAAGGTATTAATCAAATTTGAAATTTCCGATTTTCGTAAAATTTCTGAAACGGCCATTTCTAGCAAGTTATAAAAAGTTTTCTGTTTTCGGTTTCGGATTTTTTCGAATCAGCTATTTGTATTCCTAATAATACTCTTACACATATAGACAATTACTGCAAGGCCAAATTTGACCTACCATAAAAAATTTCGTGTTTGATATGTCTGAAACCCAATTTCAGAATTTTCAAGCTTCTTTTTCAGAAATTCGAAAAAAATTAGATTTGAATTCTGTTTTTTATGCCTTCCAATCTCGAAATGTTTACGGTACATTAAATTTGCTTTGGAATTTAGGATTATTTGGTTGCAATAATTATCATCAATCATATTTGCCAATACTCATTAATCATATTTTCCAATACTGATTTTTCTATAAAATTTTTGAAACGGCAATTTATAGCAAGTTATAAAAAATTCTTTTCCGGTTCATGACATGTTGACAACATTCAGGCAACTTGTAAATACCATACCTTCAAAAGCCAGCTGACTGCGACTCAAAGTATTTTTTGAGTAAAGATTTTATCTCAACTTCAGTGTTAAATTATTTCCCTCCAGATGACGTTGCATATCTCCTAATAATCAATAATGAAAGGGCCAAATCAGGAGTTAGAAGTGCGTAAAGGAGGAACGTCCAGCTAAAGCGGCCCAGGTCTTACTTGACTTACCGTGGAACATAGGTTCTCGAGTTATTTAATGAAACTCAATTCAGTCCTAAGACGCTTTGGATGGACGGCTCTTCACTTTCCTTAAACTCCAGACTTGACCCTTTTATTATTGGCTATTCGGAGATATTCAACGTCATCTGGAGGGAAAATAGTTTTACACTGTCGATGAGAAAAAAAACGTCCGGGAAGGTATACTTTGATTCACGGCCAGCTGGCTTTTGGAGGTATGGTATCCACAAGTTGCCTGAATGTTGTCAACATGTCATGAACCGCGATGGTGCATACTGTCAATCTTGGATGGTTCTTGTTTTTGTGTTATTCACGAACTAAAAAATGGACAGTTACTTTCCTTCTAACATAATATTGAAAACGTTAAAAACATATGTCTTTCAAAAATCGGAAAATGGCTGAAAAATAGGAATTTCGAAAAAATTCTGTGAATGCAAAATTTTCAATCTAGTTATTTTTTACACTCTCCAAAATTTTCAAATTGATCGGAAACTTGATAGCCGAGATCCAGACTCCTGAAAATGTCCAAAATCAACTGAAAGACACTTTTTTGTATGTCTTATTAACCGGTACTGTATATGAGCTCAAAGCTGATGGTGGATGGAACTATTTTATATGATCTTCGGCACATGAAACTAGTAATCAAAATTAAATTTTTTTTTTTCGTAAAATTTTTGAAACAGCAAAAAAGTCATTCAAACAAAGATGCCAGATTATTCACAAACTTCTTCTGGGATAAAAATTACTGTTTCAATTTTCCATATTTATCGAAAAGGCACTAATAATATTATTTTAATCTTTAAAAAATGTTTAAAAATCCTAGAAACAAAAAAAAGAAACATGTATGTAGAAACATGAGAAGGTGACAAGAAGGACCCTACTTCTTGCAACACAGGATATGAGTTTCCGGAATTTTTTTCTGTTTCAAAAAAGAACAAAGCCTCACGTGGTCCATAACCTGTTTTTACAAAATGTGGTCAATTAGGATAGTTAATTAGTGTATACGAGGAGAGAGTAATCGAATTATAAGCAAGGAGTCATCAGAAGGAGTCTAATAGAGTTAAAAAGTAGGGTATGCTATAGCAAATTGAAGGAAAAAAACCACCTAGTTTGTTAAGGGACCAGACCACCCGGTTAGTAGAATGGGTGGTTTCTGGGTTGCTGACCTAGAAATCAAAAATGAGAAATTTTAGGCCACAGGGGTCTAGAAAAAAGTAATATCACTAAAATGAGGACCCAGAGATGCAGGGTTACATTGTGAAACTGCTGAAATCTGGAAAAAAAAAAACGAAAAACCCAGCTTTCAAATGTTTTTTTTGACACATGTAATTGTTGGTTTTCATAAAACACACACAACATGGGTGAGGTTTTTTGACGGACAAGATGACAGGAAAATCGGAGGACAAGAAGAGAGAAATTGAGGAGCGGTCCGTGTAGAAGAAGGAGCACACGAAACCTGGGGGTTTTTTTTACGAGAACGTGCACTTTTTGTCCCAGGAGGGAGCTCCTAGGGAGGTAAGAGAGAAGGGTAATAAAAAGAAGAAAAATGGTAATCAAGCTGAAAGAATTTCTGAGGAAACTTAGGGGTCTTGTGTTTGCTTTGAAGAGAAGGCTCTGGACAAATAGGATGTTTTGAAAAAATTACTGTTTCAATAATTGTATAACAATTTAAACAAATTATTGATTACTAATAACACTGAGGTCAACCTTGGAAAAGCGGAGCACAGGATATGCCACACCTCTGAGCTACACGGTCGAGAACTCGGATACCGAACGATGGCTATATATAAACCGGGCACGCAACGATACAAAAAGCGAAAAGTGTAAACATCAATATGTAGACAAAAAAGGACACTCTCGTCTTGAAAAATTGCAAACATTGATGTAGAAATCACACCATTCTCAAAAATTTGTTTCTTGGATCCTTCTTGAAACCGAGATTTTTTTCAATGTGCTTTTTTTCAATGTGAAATTTGAGATCTGTATGGTTATTAGAAACGTATTCTCGAAAATTTTGTTTTGTGATTCATCGGAAATATTTTTATGAGCTGTCGAAAAATCACTGTTTCACTAATGATTGTAACAATCACTAGTTGAACAAACGTTTTGTTTTTGTTACCTTTTCTAGAAACTGAGATAATTGAGCTCAAAGTGCACATTTAGAATGATCTTCTAGCAATGCGTTTACAGATTTTGAGGTTTCAGACCCTAATAAAAATATTATTTTGAAGTTTTATACCAGCTTGACTTGAAACAGCAAAATTCATTTTAGCGTAAGGACTAGTATAATGCTTTCCTAACCGTCAACTTTGAGCTCCATTATCTCAGTTCCTGTGAAATATATCAAAAAGTGGTAAACTGACAAAACGTTTGATATTATAATACACATTTTGCCAGTTTAACGTTTTTGATATTTTTCATAGGAACCAAGAGAAATTGACCCAAAGTTGACGATTAGGAGGTATTCAGTTCTTTTTAGTGTTTAAGGTATTCAGGATCTCACATTTCGGACGAAGTTTTCAATTATGTTCTAATAATGAAAACATAAATTTGGTAGAAACAAGCCAAAACAAGTCCTCCTTTACAACGTCAACTTTAGACCATCTTATCTCGTTTCCTGTTTAAGATATTAAGAACTTGTCAACTGACAAATTGTTATCATAATATCACCAATGTTTCATAAGTTGACCACATTTTGATATACATTACAGAATTCGAGATGAATGGGCTCAAAGATGGCAGTGCCCCCTTCTATTACAGGTTTTGTGGTAACTTTTTTGCTTGGCTGAGAAAACCTAGTTGAAAATAAAAACAAACTAATCAGCAGGAAGAAGAACAAATATTACAAAATCATAAAATTACGAAATATTAATGTTTTCAAGTTTGATATTAGCTTGAAACAGTGAATTTATTTTCCTGTACAAACTTGTAAAATGCATCCCTAGCCGCCAATTTTGGATCAATTTGTCTCAGTCTCTGTGCAAGATATGAAAAAGTTGTCAACTGGTGAAATGTTTTTGATATTATGATAAACATTTTGTCAGTAGACTAGTATTCGATATCTTTCACTGGAACTGAGATAATTGAGCTCAAAGTTGAAAGTGTGGGTGCCATTCTATTCTATCTAATTCATTCTAGCGTATATGGTATAATGAAACGAGATTGTGTTCTAATACCGAAGCTGTGCAAACCACAGAGGCGGTCAGCCGCGGCCTGCCTGGACAGACTATTTTCCAAAGAAACTTACTGTATCATCGCCCTGTTATAATTCGATGACGTAGTCGAGGATGCCCTCGAAACAAGTGACGCACTGGATCTCGCCGATTCGAGTCTCTGATGTTGAGGTGATGACTGATGATGATTGTGGACTGAAGACGAATAGGATGAGGATCCACCGCTGGGGGCCGTGCCCCGCCTGTACGGCAAAGCCCCGCCCAATTCGATGACTCGACTAACCGTTTTGCTGGAAGCACCATGAAGAAGAGTGCACAAGAGAGAAGAGTAGAGATGGGGGGAATGTATCAGACGGGGAGATAGGAGATGATAGAGGGAAAGAGTGGTACGAGAATTAAGATGAATCGGTGGACCAATGGATTGTGACGAACGGATGAAAAGTGGGGGGACGTATGGGAAGAGAGATACGTAGTGATAATTCTGTGTGATTGGGATTGAAGGGGAGATCAAAGAAAGTGGGGAGAGCTTGGTGTTCTTAGGTGTCGCACTTTTAAAATTTATCTGTTTCGAAAATTTCCAAAATTCATGGAGTTTGTAAAAAAGACAATGTTAACGTGTCTGATTTTCTTGTAATTTTGCCAATTAGCAGTTCCTTAATGGATATTCAAATTGATATAATTGACAATTGAAAGCAAGTCATATTGGCGTATGGATGTTCCACTAAATGATTTATCTAAAATTTGCTAACTGTTAAATTTTTTATCATAAAATCACCATTATATTATCAGTTGACTGATATTTGGTAACTCTCATAGAAATGGAGATAATTAGGGTCAAATTTCATGTACCTCACACCTTGTACGTTTATTTTGAGCTTAATTATCTCGGTCCCTATAAGAGATATCAAAAATCTGTCAACTGATAAATTGTTCATCATATTATCAAAATAGTTTTTCAGTTGACAGTTTTTCGATATCTCTTATAGGAATCAAGATAATTGAGCTCAAAGTGCACATGTTGAGTGTTTATTACAGTAATTACGGTAGCTCGTGGTTTTTTATAGCTCCAAACTTTCAGCTTCTCTTTTTCCCACATTTCTGAAATTTGAAAAATCCTACAACCTTTTTGTTTTTTCCTCATGAAATAAAAAAACCCCATTCCATGAAAATTGATGTGATTGGGAGCAACTTTCATCCGGATTTCTTTTTTTTTTCTCTCTTGAATATCATTTTTTCTCGAAAAGTGACATTTTCGAAACAAACTACATTACAAAACCGATTTTGGGGATTTTCACTTCAATGTTCTTTGAAAGAAAAAAAAGTGTGCATGTTCGGGGACGAAAAAAGTGATGTGTGAGATTTGTAGAAAAAAAATTCAGGGGCTTCCGTGTAGTTTGGAACTTAAAGTTTAAAGGAGGCGAGACAGCAAAAATTTCGGGGGACAGTTCGGGGGACGATCGTCAGGCGCCTTCGCGGCCCCGTAGCTCAGCCGGTAGCGGCGCTGTACCCCTGAGCTGCCTGTCATGAGTTCAACCCCTCATGGGGGTTCTCTATGCAAAATATCAGGAAAACTTTTTTTTTTGGTGTCTGACCTCCTTTAATGTGTTAGGGGGATGGAGGTTTACTGTAAATTTTGTAATATAAGAACTCCCACATTGTCAAGTTTGAACTGGTTTTTCTTGGCTCTTTTGCAAGTTATCAAAAATGTATCAACTGATAACACGTTTGTGATATTATGATAAACAATTGATAAGTTGACAACTTTCTCATATCTTTGACAGAAACCGAGATAAAGTACCCTATAATTAAAAGTTATGAGGTCCTTCTATTACATGTATTACGGTAGTTGATAACTTGCTCAGAATTTGAAGCTAAATTTCTGAGTAGTTAATTTAAATTTAAACTTATTGGTTTTATCCTTTTTCGAGATACGAAACATCTTTTAGAAAATTATATTTTTGGAAAAAAACTTTTGGAACAGTAAAAATTCAAAAAAATTTTACAAAATTTTTCTATTTTTTTATATTTGCATGTCGCATAAAAACGAATGACAGAAACTTTTCCAAAAAGTTTCACGAACTTCTGAAACAGAAAAAAATTGATTTTCAATTAATAGGGATCAATATGTCCATAAAAATGGCTATATATGTAACATTCTGGTACAGAAAAATGAGAGCGGTGGAAGATAAACGCTGGTGGTCGTGGCCGTTTGAGGAAGTATATTTGACATTTGAACATTTTCAGGTTACTTTAGTTCGGGCACTGCCACTGGGATTTCTCTTCCACAGCTTTATCTTTTTTGTACCAGAATCATAGCCACTATTGAAAACCTTTGACATCTATCGGAACGTCATCGTTTTTTGAAAATTGAATTTTTTAGAATGAAATTTTTGAAACAGTGAAACTTCGAAAAAATTTCACAAGATTGTTCAAACTTTCTGAGCTAAGTACCTTAAAATAAGTAATACAGAAAGTTTCAAAAACTTCTGAAACAGAAATTTTTTCGATTTTTCAAACTGATATGGATCATGAAAGCCATAAAAGTTAATATAAATACGTTAAATGTAATTTCAAGCATACCGTAATCCTTTTAATGGCACCAAAACCCTTACGCTCAATTATCTCGGTTCCTATGGGAGGTATCAAACAACTGTCAGCTAATAAATTGTTCATCATAATATCACAAACATTTTATCAGTTGACAAAATTTTGATATCTTTTACAGGAATCGAGATAATTGAGCTCAAAGTTGACGATTCGGGAGGGTTTCGATTAAAGTAAGTACGGTATTATTGTTCGGGAATGGTGGTTTGATTTGTAATATTGCAATCATACTTGCAACGGGCCGAGCCGGGCCGGGCTTTCAAAAAATTGGTCAAGGCCCATCCCGGCCCGTCCCGGAAGGCCCGGAAGGCCCGGCCCGGGAGGCCCGGAAGGCTCGGCCAGTTGCCGCCAGCTTCGATTTTTGGGCAAAAAAGTTTGTTTTTTTTTTGAAAAAGTTGTTTTTATCATCTAATTTTTAGCTAAATTGTAAATATTAAATTTGTAAATGTTTAAAAAAATTTGCGAAAAAAATTTTTTTTTCCTGAATTTTTCCAAAGTTGATATCGAAGAAAAAAAATGCATTTTTGAAGCAAAATAACAGTTTTCTCTCGAAAACTAGTTTTTTTGTTAAAAATTCTCAAAAATTATCAAAAAAGATTTTTTTGAGAAATTTCGACCAAAACAATTCGTCCGGGCCTTCCGTGCCGGGCCGGGCTTTCAACGATTTTTGCAAGTATGATCGCAATGAGATGAAATTTCAGAAAAATTTATTCTGAGACAGTGATTCCTTTAACTTTTTTTAATGATTTCCTCCATTTGTCCCATCTCCATCCAATAAAATGTTTTCTTGTGACATTTCACAGATTATTTCAATTTCTTTCAAATTGCTCTCAACACTTCTTTCTTTCCCATCTCTCCCGGATTCACCCTCATAATTCATTGACAATAAATTAGAGAAAAAAGTGAAGAGACGCAGACACTTCAAAACATGTCTGCGCTCTCTTCTATACTCACTCTGTTTTTTTTTCTGAAAAGATGAGAGCTTTCGAATGGATCCGGGTAGAAATAGAACGAGCAGTTGGTGGAATGGATGGATGAAAAAAGAGGTTAGGCTGGAAGAAAAAACGAAAAGAGATGGGATATTTACAAATAATAAGGTTTCCAGATGATAGCAACAAAAAAAAATAATTAAGGGAAAAATGGAAGAAGGGGTGGTTTTGAAAAATTGAAAATTTACTGTTTCCTAAAAAATTTTAATCGGTTAAAAATTTTAGATGGTATTAAACACAACTGGTTTTGTCCGATTTGAATAAATAACTCGAAAAGTTCAAAAATCTCAAGAAAATCACTGTTTCAGAAGTCATTCGAATCTTTCACAAAGTTTTTAAGGTGCATACTGTAACTCTAAAAACTTGAATTTTCTAATTTTCAAAAAAAAATTATCACTGTTTCAGGAGTTATTTGAATCTTTCGCGCTAAATTTCATAACCAATACTGAATTCAATGCCATATTCAAAATATTTCCAAAATCAAAAAATCACTGTCTCAGAATATTGAACCCCTCTGCGTTAAATTTTATAACCAATAACGACTTTTGGAACGAAGTTCTTTCAAATTGTTTAAAAAATGGTTTTTATTCAAAACTTAAAAATGGATTTTCTGAAAAATCTTTTTTTCAGAAGTTATCGGAATATATTGAGCCAAATTGCATAACCAATAATACTGCGTTGGATTGTGCAACATTTTGAACACTTTGAACATCACAATTTTTAAAGGTTCCTAGAATGAAATTTTTTTTTTCCAGTTTCAAAAAAAATATTTCCAAAATTTTTCGAACCAAATTTTAGTATCAATATCGTAGCATATTGGATATAACATTATGAATTTGTACACGTAAAGATCATTAAGTTTAGGGTTCTTGTAATGAAATTCTTTTTTTTTTTGCTTGAAAATGTTTTTTTCCTAAAATTTGAAAAGAAAATTTTCAACTGAAAATCATTGTTTCAGGAGTCATTGGAATCTTTCGAGGCAAATTTTATAACCAATAGTTTTGGATTGGGGGACATGAAAAAAATATAACTCGAAAATTCGAAATTTTCGAAAAAAAATTCTGTTTCATAAGTTAATGGAATCTGTCTAACAAAATTACCAATATTGTTTTGGGTATCGTTTTTATAATAGATTGCGCCCAAGGCACACCAGCCAGCTGTTCGAAGTGCCGGAGGCGCGGCCAACAGGCTAGTTACATTGAAAACTTATACATGTAAAGATCACAAAAATTAGAGTTCATGGAATGAAATTCATCTCATTCTGCCGTAAAAAGTGATTTTTTCCAAAATAAAAAAAGAAAATTTCCACCAAAAAAATCACTGTTTCAAAAGTTATTGAAATGTTTTGAGCAATGTCTTCATTTCAATAATGATGGTTTTTTTTAATTTGAATTGTTAAAATTTGAATATTTTCAGAAGTTTCCAAAAAAATTTGCAGTCAAAAAAGGAAAAAAAAAGATAGGTAATATCACCTGAAATTTTTTTGTCGACGTATGAGCCTATGTCAAAAAGAAATGGAAAAAGAGAATGGATAGATCCGGATGATAAGGACTTTGCTAATCCTATTCGGGATTATGAGATTCGAAATAAAATACGAAAAAAGAAGAAGGAGCATAGAGGGTATATGGATTTGTCCAGAATGTGATGGAGAAAAAAATGGGAAAAAAAGTTTTCGAAGAGAGAATAAGAGAAAGACGAGGGGGAATTATTAAATTAGAAATGAGATTATTAAGTTGTTTGATGATTTGATTTGGTATTTGATGCGTTTTTATGTATGAGTGCAGAAAGGAATGTGACAAAGAAAACAACGAAAAATTCGAATTTTTAGATTTACTGATAATTCCGTTAATTAGAAAAACAGGATAATTTCGGGTAATTAATTAATTTCCAAAATTCCAAAAAGAGTAATTTCCAAAATTTAAATTTCAAACTTATGGAATCACGGACTGAGCAACGCCAATAGCACCCAAAAACTTTGCAACTTTTTTCCCTACATTTTCGGAAACAGTACTATTTTTTTTCAACAAAATTTTTTTACCGTTTCATGGAAAGTTTCAATTAGATGTTTTTTGAGAATAGTGCCGCTGCAGGTTTTAGGCTTTTTTTTACAAAATCAAAAAATTAGGTCGTCACCTGGAAAATCCAAAAAAATTGGTCGTGACCTAGAAAATTCGAAAAATTAGGTCATGACCTAGAAAACCAAAATATTAGGTCATGACCTAGGAAACCCAAAAATTATGTCATGACCTAGAAAACCTAAAATTAGTTCGTGACCTAGAAAATTCGAAAAGTTAGGTCGTGGCCTAAAAAACCAAAAATTATGACATGGCATAGAAACTTCAAAATTAGGTCATGACCTAGAAAATCCAAAAAATTCCAAAACTTTTAAAAACTCATTCGATCTTTATCATTTTCAAAATAGAAGAACTAACGGATAATGAAGGAAAAATGAATTTTTCTGATAAGAAAATTGATCAGAAGTGAAGAAAAAATAGAGTACGAAATCTGGATACAAAAGACAGTACAAATTTTTGTGGGATTTATAAAGTCCAATTTCGAAGCTAAGCCACAGTGTTTTTTGGTTTTTAGATTCTTAGGTTTTGAACTTATGAACGTATTTTTGAATTTTCTCGAAAAAATGTCTATAAAATGTACCAAAACTTTGAGAAACAGCCTAGATTATGTCACTAAATTCTCAACTTTTACTGTTTCATGTGAAAAATTTGTAACAGTGAAAATTATCAAATGTAATCGTTGTAAATCAGAGTGTTCTGTACTTCTAGAAACAAATTACAAGGGATTAACACAAAAATTCATGCATACGGGAGTCCAATTTCCAGTCTTTTAACAATTTTAATATCTAGCCTATAAATTTTCAAAGTTTTTCAGAAAGGGCGAATACTTATGGGGGTGAGAATGAGGCAAAGATCTTTGACTAATCTTTGAAACTCATTTTTCGTCGTCATTTTCATATTTTTCATTTTTCATACAATAAAATAAAAACGTATTGAATGGACTTGACTCTTATATCAAAAAATAAGGGATACATACCCACATATACATGATGTATCGTGCCCTTCGGCTACTCTTTTAATTTCGATGATGTCTCTCTGTCAACGAAAAGAAAAAGAAGAAGAAGGCGAGCACTGAGCACAAAAAAGAAGAAAGAAAAAGAGCACTCGGATTAATCTGCTTACCCCGGTATGATTGCCACTGTTGAGGAGGGTGGAGAGCGCTCCATATAATTCACGAGTTTCTCGCCACGAACACGCGAGGAGATGGGCGGGGTGTTGAGAGATGGGCGGTCGGGTAGATTACAAGAATCTGAAATTTAAGAATATTTTTGAAAAAGACAAAAAATTTGTATCTTTGTAACAAGTGGGCCCTTTTCTCATCGACTCTTCCCCTTGTCATAAAGATCCAGAATTTTAAAGAAATTTTTCTCTGGACCAGGCTAGATTTTCGACCGTTTTGACAGAAAACGGACGACGGGCGGCAGACGGACATGGGTTGAAAATAGTGATAAGTAAGGAAGATATACTCTCAAACACACCGACCATCCGACCAAGAGTGATTTTTACGACTTTTGATCTGGAGCAAATATCCTAAAGGAGCTAACCGACCCTAAGAGTCGGAAGAGCTCTAATCCATCAAAAGTTGCTCACAACAAAGCATTTTTTTGACTTTCAAAATTTTGGAAATTTTGGAAATAGTGATTTTCTTTTCCACACATACAAAACAGAAACGGAAAGATCCGTAAAGATCTCATGGATTCTAAGAATTGGATGATGTGCTCTGGAGAGCTCTGATCCAAAGACGTTGTGCTCAACAAAAAATATTCAATAACTGATGAAAATAATCATGTTTTGAGATTTTCTGTGGAGAATGGTCGAATGGTTAAAGTTCTACAAAAGTAGTTCAGAATTATTCGATTTGTCTGAAAATTTCAGAGTTCACTAATCGAAAATAGAACGTCATTTTTGTCAAGTCCCATTCTGATGAGATATGTGATTTGTAACCAAAAAGTGTCAAAAAAGGCACTGAAATGAGAGTTGTGTCACTTTGAAACCGCGTATCTGGCTTTGTTGGACTTTTGCTAGAGAGTTATCAATTACAAAACTGAAGCTCTAATTTTGCTCTGTAGATCCTGAGATTTTCAGAAAAATCGAACAATTCTGGAGACAAATATTGTTTAATTTTTACGAGTAATCGCATTAATAAAATTCATACATTTTCAAGATTATTAAACTTTATTCTGAAACAGAAACTTTTCTGATGCTCCGAGAAAAAAATCCTTTATAAAAAAATTCCCTTTTCTAAACCTTTATTCGAAATAAGAACAACTCATCGTTTGAGATATTTCTAAAGAAAATGAGCTTTATAGAAATGGATCTCATTGAAGAACTAATTCTAGAGAGCAGAAAAATTTTCGCACATATTGTGGAAATATTTCGACCACCCATCAAAAAGAATGCAATTTCGAAGTATATACTGTCTATTCAATAAAACGTGGGCGCGCCGCAGGTTGCAAAGTGACACGCCCCTTTATGAAACGCGTTCATTTTTTTTTCTTCTCTCACACGTTTATATTCCATAGTTTCAGAGACATTGTCAAGACCTTTAAGACATTTCGGTTTCAAAAATATCTCATACGTGAACAAATGAATTTTCGGATAATGTGGATGGTCTTGTTTTATCCACAACGAGGTTCTTGTACTCAAAACTGGAAAATTGCATTTTTTTTCCAAAAAATGTTAAGGCCTACAATTAGAATGCAATATAATTCTTAAATAGGGGAAGAATAGATTTTTGGGTGGGAAACAAAAAAAATATTAGAACTTCACTGTTTCAAAACTTCACTGTTTCAAAAGAATCTTGTCAAGTTTTCACAATTTATCTATTTCGTTCGACAGTTATTTCTTTTTCAAAAATTCGTAATATTTTGAGAGAAAAATTTCATAGTGGCCGTGATAATTTTGCAAAAATCAAAAATATTTTCTGTTTCAGTAGTCTCATACTGTCTATTCAATAAAACGAGGGCGCGCCGCAGGTTGCAAAGTGACACGCCCCTTTATGAAACGCGTTCATTTTTTTTTTAAAGTTTGAATCAAATTGCGACAATCTATAATTTGTTTCTATAGAATGATTATAGAGAAAAAAATATAATTGCCGAAAATAATTCTCGATAAAATATGCCTTCAAATAATTGAATAAGACAAAAAAGGTTCGAATATCATGATTTAACGAAATGCTAAAAGTACAAAAATCTGACGAGGTACTTTTGAAAAATTAATTTTTCGGAATCTAGAAAAACCGTATTTTTAAGATATTTCTTAAAAACAAGGCTTCTCAATAGCTGACACCGGAGAAGAGCATAATCATTGGCCGTAAGAAAAATTAAGAAATTAACAACATTCTTCTGAAACAGCAATTATTTTTTTAAATCCTAAAAAATCATTAATTTTCAACCATAGAACTGAATAGAAAAACTGTAAAAACTTGACAAGGTTCTTATTAAACAGTAAATTTTCGTGACAATAAGTCTGAAACTAAAAAATCGTATATAAATAAAAGTGAACCTATTCTAAAACAGCAGTCATTTTTAGGAATGTAGTTTTTCCCTCATGTTTTTACATCAAAAACTATTTTCCATTTCAGAATTGATTCCAATAAACGACTCACCAGTAGACGTAACCTGTACAAATGGATTTCTTCTCGAGCTCGTTCCATTGGACCCATCTAGTGGAGTGAAGTTCCTTCCAGTCGAGGACAGCATGTCCCTTTAAAATGATGAATGAGTGTTTGAAGCTCGAAAGACAAAGTGACAAGTTTTAACGTAATAATCGGCACTTTGGAAGATTTTGTCGCTGAGTCTGCGTCTAGGTGATTAGAGAAAAAGAAAATGGGTCCGGGGAGAAGTTGAAAAACGTGTGTGAATGATTGACTGATATGATGACAAGAGATATGATAAGGAAAAGAGGAGGGCATGTTTGAGGTTTTGAATTTCCGCATGTTCAAACACTTTGAGAGATATGGTCCAGCTGACGATTTATGATTAGTGAAGCTTGTCTGGAGAGAGAGAGAGAGAGAGAGAGAGAGAGAGAGAGAGAGAGAGAGGGAGAGAGAGAGAGAGAGAGAGAGAGAGAGAGAGGGAGAGAGAGAGAGAGAGAGAGAGAGAGAGAGAGAGAGAGAAAGTGAAGGGGAGTGCAGAGAAACGAGAGTGTCTCGCTGTCTGGATTCTCTGTATATTCTGAAAAGCAATGACTAGAAAAATTTGAAAAAAAATAGATTTTTTTTTTGCGAATTTTTTCTGTTTCATAGATTTCGAAAATTAGAATTTTTTTCATAACTTTCAATTGATAAGCTGATTAAAATAGTATCTATTTTCCGACTAAAATGAGCCGTTCAAAAATGTTCCGCTCGAAAAACGCAATTTTTCTCTATGCAAAATTCTCTTCACATTCACAGAGAACCTAATAAAATAGAGTTCATTTGAGGGACAAAAAGAAAAAAAGCTAAATACAATTTCAAAAAAAAAATCCAATTTCCCCCAAAAATCTAAAGGTTTCGATTCAAAGAAAAAGATATGTAACCTAACTAATATGATTTTCGATTTTTTGAAAATATAAAGAGAAAAATATACACAAGTGTCACTGGAAAAAAGAAAAGAAAGATTATCCCAGAAAAAAAACCGGATGTTCTGATATTGTGACGAAGCGGATGTTCGGATAAAAATATTGAAGAAGTGAACTAATTCGAAATGAGTTTGAGGATGGGGATGAAGGGATGATGGATGATTAATTGATGATGAATAATCAGAGAAATGGAGAGCGAGAGCGAGAGAGAGAGAGAGAGAGAGAGAGAGAGAGAGAGAGAGAGAGAGAGAGAGAGAGAGAGAGAGAGAGAGAGAGAGAGAGAGAGAGAGAGAGAGAGAGAGAATTCGAGTTTGTTGATTCATTTATCCGATTGTTTTTGTAACAAAACGAATCAATTTCTTTTTTAAGCATTTCTATACATTCTTCGAAACAGTGAAAAACTGGTATTCCTAATTTTTCGTATAATCCACACTACCAAATTAAAGTGTTCAAAAACTGTTTAATCTCTAAATTAGGAATCACAGTGCCTGTCAATGAAAGATACAAATACGTATTTCTCAGTAAAGTTTCGGTCATTTTAACAACTTTCTGGAGTCTGCAGCTACAAAAATGGCCCAAAATGTGCGTCTTTCAAAAATCGACCAATAGCTGAAAAACTAAGATTTTCCAAAAATTATGTGGCCGTAAATTTTTCAATTTAGGTCTTTTTCAAACTCTCCGAATTTTTCAAAGTGATCGAAAACTTGGGAGCCGAGCTGCAGACTCCTGGAAATGGTCAAAACTGCCGACAATCAGCTGAAAAATATGTTTTTGTATATTCTATTGACCGGTAATGTAATTCCTGATTTAGAGATTTAGGATTTTTCAAATATTTTGATCTGATAGTGAGAAAATATTATAAATCAGTAAAATACAATTTATTTCCAATTTTCCATTTAAAAAATTATAAAAAATTAAAATTTATTATAAAACTTCTTGCACAAAACATACTTTTGTTGATATCTTAAGTGGCGGATTTGAAATTTATTATCTTCAAAATTTTGTAGGTTTAGAAATTCAAGAAAAAATTTCAAAATCTGTTGAACTAAAAACTTTTAATTTGGCCATCTTTAAAATACCGTTTCAATTTTTTTGGAAAATTTTGAACTTGAAAATTTACTATTCTTCTTCTTTAATATTTCGTACTTCTTCAATATTTGGACAGTACGATAAGTTTAAAAAAAACATTTTTCACTTTTCTATTTTTTTGAAAAATTTTCGCTGTTTCAAAAAATCATAGTTGCAGGCGGTCCAGCTGATAACTTGTCTCAAAAACACTATATTCAGACGGTTTTGATAGCAAATGATAGATCTCGACAGGGCCCATCACGTCTATATCTTTTGAGCCGGATTCCGGTCCAAAAACATGTCGAAAAATGTGTTTGACTGACAAAAGTTTTTGCCAAGTTGGTCGAAAATTGTCATTCAAGCCCAGGTTGCGGCATGTTATCGAAATGGAATCAAGCTTGATTAATATAGGCGCGATGGGTCCTGTCGAGATCTGTCAATCGGTACCAAATCTGTTGGAATATCTCGTACTAGGGACAAGTTATCCGCCGGCCCGCCATCTGCCCGGGCCGGCCCATTATGCAAAACATGTTCAAGTTTCCCTGAATCTAGAATTTCTTGACTTTCTTACAAAGGTTTGTATATTCAACACTTTGAAAACTACCAAAACTGTGGAATTGAAATGTCCTTATCGCGCATTTTTTCCAAAAACAATCGAAAAAAAAATTGCCGTTTCAAATTATTTGAAAAATTTTTGAAACCGAAAATTTTATCAATGATATTTGAATTCAAAATCCATAAATATAGAATCAGAAAGGAAATTTCTCGAGAAGGAAATAAAAAAGTCCGGAATGAAACTTTCTCTTTCTTCTTCTTCTCTCTTCATTCACTCACACGATGGATTTAAAAGGAATTATGAGAGCAGAAATGAGCGAGAAGAAAAAGGTCAACTTTTTTAGAGCCAAAAAAAGTTTAGAATGAGTGAAAGAGAATTTTTTGGGCGTGGTGGTGTCAGTTGGCATAGATCCACCATATGACTTTTTTCTTCTATTTCAGAATATTATGAAAAACGGAGAAAGGGAAAAAAGTTGCCTCCTTTCTGGCGGGAATTTATAAAAGAGGGAGAGAAGAAATAAATACTTCCCAGAAAAATCAAAGTTCATTAGGTTGGAATTCAATATTAAAGAACTCCTAGGATGTTCAAATTTTGTGAAAAAAGAGAGGGTGGCAGAGAGATAAAATACCTATTGAAAAGTGTATAAAAGACAACTGTTAAGAATTTTTTTTCGGAAAAAATGATCACTGATAATAGAACCTAATGGACTATGTGAGCAAGAAAACAGGAAAAAACTGAAGGAATATAAGTGTAAAAGTGAAAGATCAGTGTAAAAAATAGTTTTCGAAATTCTAATTTTTTCTGTTTCAAAAAAAATTTCATAAATTTGTGAAAGGAGATTTTCAATATTAGAGCATGTTATAAACAAATATATTAAAAATTTCAGAGATTTAACTAAAAAACATAGTTGTCTTCTAAACCGAATAAATCAAATTTAAACATTCTCAGAGTGAATGTTGAATAATCATTTGAAAATTTGCTTTCACCATTTCATAATGTTGAAAATCTCAATTCACAAATTTTCAAAACTCCGTTGAAACAGAAAAATAATTTTCAGTATTTAGAAATTTTTGGAAAGTTTTAATGCTACTCTTGGAATATTCCAAATTTCCATTCAACGATAAGAACATTTTTAGAAACTGTACATAATTTTTTATATGTTTTTCACTTTTTTTGAATTAGACAATACGGGAATATCCTATATTTAAGTTTTCAGACAAAAACTTAATTATACAATTTTACTGCAAAAGCTTATTTCCATTCAATTTCGTTTCTTTTTTCTTTGCAAAAAGTTCATTCCTTTCTAGTTTCCAATATTCAGAAATAGCTTCTGATCTCCAACGTCATCAGATGAAGAATCAGAAATAAAAAGAGTCTCGTGCTAAAATTTGCAGCATCTAATTTCCGTTTTAATGCTCATATCAGCCTGAATTGGCACGAAATCTGAATGAAATTTCGTAGAAAAAAAGGGGAAACACGATAATCCGGTGATGACTTAAAGAATAAATCTAGAAGTCTGAAATTATATAAAACGAATCAGGGAATATGTCTGATCATCAAAATGAAGGGAATGAGAGAGAAAATTTATAAAATTAGAAATGGGCTTTTCCAGTTTTAAATAGTTTTTTAGAATTAAATCTCCAAACGTCTTTACATTTTTAAGAATCCTGAAAGAATGAATATAAAATGTCAGGTAAACCCCTAGGACATTCGACAATTGATTATCTGAAAATTGAGAAACAGGATAACTTTTTGCGAATTTTCGCTGGAATAAAAATACTCACTGCTTCCGAAAAATTATATTTTCTTAAAGGGGGACTCCGACCAGAAATTTTTATTGCATCAAAATGTGTTAAAATTTATCTATTTTTCAAATATTATTGCAAAAAAATTCCGAAAAAATCCGAAATACCCGAAAAACGGCGTTGAAAAGGAAGAAAATTCAAAAAAAGGTGCCGCCGGGGGACGAGGATTTTCAGTGAGAAACCTAGGCCACGGCACCTGACAGCCTTTTTTTCAAGTCGCCGACAGTGGTTTTTAACGTTTTTTACCTGCCTGACATGAAATTGAGAAAAAAATCCGGAAAATTTGCCACATAGGAAAGGCGCCCGCTGCCGTGGCCTAGGTTTCTCACTGAAAATCCTCTTCCCCCGGCGGCACCTTTTTTTGAATTTTCTTCCTTTTCAACGGCGTTTTTTGGGAATTTCGGATTTTTTTTTTGAATTTTTTCGCAATAATATTCGGAAAATAGATAACTTTTAACACATTTTAATGCAATAAAAATTTTTGGTCGGAGTCCCCCTTTAAACTAGTTTTCAAAAACATTATGTTCATGATCCACTCAGGAAAAAGTATTTCAAAATTTCATTCAATTCAAATATACCTTTGGATATACAAAAAATAAAAAATATACTTTTGAATATATTGTTTTTCTGACACAGATAAGTTTTTTTTTGGTGTAAAAAACAGCCGAATTTCAAATTTCGACAGTTTTGTTATGATTCTAACGAGAAAAAAAATTTATAAATTCAATGTTTCAAAAAAATTGTTTTATACTTCGAAAAATATATGAATTGATTTGTCTAACTTCTGGATCGCTGCCTCTAAAATATCACAATTTTTGCAATAGTCCTGTACCCTTTTTCATTGGGATTTTCAGTACGTCTTACTATAATTTTAGCAAAAATAAATTCTAAAAATTTATTGTTTCAAAAAACTTTTCTATATCAGAGAAATGTAAATATTGAGTTGGGCAAAAAATTATCTTTAAAAATTGTTTGAAAATTCTAAAATGATGAACTTCTATTTTGATTGAATATAACATTTTTTGAGAATTTGAAAGATTTTTCCAACTTTTTAAAGCACAAATGCATAAATCAGAGAGTCAGAATACCAAGAAAAAGTATGAAATGTATCCAAAAAGTATCTATTTAAATATTCATATTCTTAGAAAAAGAGTAAATGTTTAATATGAATTTTTATGCAGTTTCTATATTCAAAGTGAAAAAAACCAAAAATATTATAGAATGGGTTTTTCGCAAAGAAAAAACTTCAAAATTGTGATTTTCAAATATGAAGAAGATTACCCAATATACAGTACTAAAAAGATGTACAAAAACGTACTTTTCAGTAGATTTTCGGCCATTTCCACCATTTTCAGGAGTCTGGAGCTTGACTATGAAGTTTCCTATCACTTTGAAAATCATGGAGAGTGTAAAACGACCCACGATTGAAAATTTTGCATTCACAGAATTTCGGAAATGTCCTAGTTTTTCAGATATTTGCCGATTTTTAAAAGACACCCCTTTTGGCCCTTTTTTGTACTAAAAACAGTAAAAGCGTGTCTTTCAGATACCGTAAACACTCTAATAGAATGTCACCCAAACTGTCAAATTCGAGCCATGTATCTCATTTTCTATGAGAGGTATGAAGAAGTGGTCCACTGATAAAATGTCGCTGATATTTTGATAAATAATCTGTCAGTTGACAGCTTTTTGATATCTTTAACAGGAATGGAGATATGAGTTCAAAGTTGACGGATTGGGTGCGTTCTATTAGAGTGTTTACGGTAACAGCTAAAAACTAGGAATTTTCAAAAAAGTATATTAATGTAAACTTTTCAATCTAGGTCTGTTTTACACACAAAACACCGAAAAGCCCAAAAACAGAGACCATCATGAAAACATTGTGAAAATGGGCGTGAAACAATGCAATTTTTGGTGTGGAATCTGGGTCCAAATTGTTTCCTGTTTATCCTGAGAAGACACTTTTGGAGGAAGAAGAAAGAAGAATCTTGAGAAAAAATTCAGACAAGACAACTAGAAGGTACAATGGAATAGGGGAGAGCAACACAAAAAAAACTAGATTTGCGATTATGAAAAGGCGAGAAAAAATACGGGACGAAAAAAAAGGAGAAAGAGGAAAAAAGAAACGCCCGTCTTCTTTTTCTTAAATTGTGTTTTTTATTCCCCCTTCTTCTTTTTCTTCTTGACTAAAAAAAGCTGAAATTGTTCGGACGTTCCACGTGGATCCCTTCATATATCTAGATGTGCTGAACGCCTTCTTTTTTGGAGAAGAAAAAAGTGGACGGGAATTTCTTACACTCGATTGAATTCGTTCTCCTTTTTCACACAGACACATTATATTCTATGATGGAATATTCTGGAGAAAAAATTGGAGAAAAAGAGGAAAAATATTTTTAGAAAAAATTTAAGACTTGGGGAAGTCTGTGAATTCAAAAGCTAGAATTTCGATTTTAAGAACTTTTTGAAAAACTTAATTGATAAGTTGTAAATGCTACATACTTCAATCAATCAATCTGAGATTCTGAGATTCTGAGATTCTGAGATTCTGAGATTCTGATATTCTGAGATTCTGAGATTCTGAGATTCTGAGATCCTGAGATTCTGAGATTTTCTAAATTTCAGATTTTCAGAAAATCCGGAGGTCTTGCCTTCCGAAAATCCCTGTTTCAATGTTCACTGAAAATTTTTTTTAATAAAATCATTTTCCAGTGATCTGCTGTTCTCCCGGTGCCTAATATACGATTAAAGAACGACCGAAATTTGAAAACATGGGAATTTCGAAATTTCCCTTTTAATCTGAAGTTATTATAATACGGGAATTGTAACGTCAGTATTGAAGGAGGCCAGACAGCAAAAATTTTGGGGGACAGTTTGAGAAACGAAATCGCACCGCGCTTTTGTATGCCATCGGTCGACAGGCGCTTTCGCGGCCCCGTAGCTCAGCCGGTAGCGGCGCTGTACCCCTGAGCTGTCCTGCATGAGTTCAACTCCTCATGGGGGTTCTCTATGCAAAATATCAGTAAAACTTTTTTTTTGGTGTCTGGCCTCCTTTAAGTTCACAAATTTAGAAAATCCAGAATTCTTCGCTTCGAAAAAGTTCTGTTTCAATGTTTTCTGAAAAAATTTCAGTTAAAATCACTTTCAGTAGTCGACTGTCCTAATGGAGCCTAATATACTATTACAAAATCCGAAAAAAATTCAAAAATGAACAAAAAATCCAGAAGACGTGAGAGGAACTCAGAATTTCCATTTTTCTCCTTCATTTTTTTGTCTCCTGCCGATGACATATTTAGAATAATTGCTCTGTCTGCGCAGAAGACACACACGTTTTTCTTCCTGAAAATATATATTCAAAGAACCGATACATCACTTCGTTGTGTTACTGGAAATTTGTCTGAAAATTGTGGTTTTTTCTGAGAATAGGAAAAAGAGAAGAATGAGTGACTACAAATGGTTTGGGGAGTGCTCTCAAGTTGATTCTAATATGATAATAAAAACAATTTCCGAAATAGAAATTCCATGAAACAGGAGAAAATTTTTACAATTTTTTCTGTTTCAGAAGAATACAACAGAATGCATAAAATTTGATATTTCTTTGCAAAGTAAGAGTAGCTACTCTGCTGCATTTTGTCAATTCCACCGCCACTGGATTCCTAGGGATCTAAGGAGCCACTTTGTGCACCTATGTAACCAATATTCGTTTTCTCGATGTCAGCACTTGGATGTGGTAGGTACCGTAATCTAATTACCTGATTTTGATATTTTGTCCGTTAAGGATGTTGCATGTGCTCGTGTGCCACATGTATTCTTTGGTTTTTATCATAAATCGAAAGATTCAGGATACAGAAAAATTGGTTCCGATTAAAAAATTTTTACTTGAGATAACTTTCAATTCAAAAATCAAAATGGTTTTTTCGAATTTTCCCGCGCTGACCACACTAAACAGAGGGACAGCTGTAAACTAGCTGGCCCTCTGCAAAATCTATGAAACCGGAAACTATAAAACAACTTTTCATCAATTTTCGTTGCTTATTTTTATTTTTTCCGGAGATACTTTGGAACAATAGAAGGAACCACCCTTCTAATACAGGTCTTACGGTATCTTGCAATTTAAACGGATTTTGTACAAAGGAAATTTTAATATCCTCAAAAATCCAAATCAATACTTATTGAACCTTTCTTTTCTCAAAATGTTCAATGCTCGGTGGATCTTGAAGTTTGGAAATTCAAAAATTCAAAAACACAAACATCTTTCTTTCTTCCCAAAACTGATCATTCTTTTTCACCTCAAATCCACTATAATCCTCTCGCAACGTCATATACGATATTTTAGCACCTGACCAAAAATCCTAAAATCTTTCAAAAAATAATGAAGCAATTGTCTCCGACGGATTATCGTAGTGGGTTTAAAAGCGGAATCGTCTTACCTTGTGCACATTCATTCTAAGATGGAGTTTATCGGTAGTGATATCGACCAAAGCTATAATTATGTGATTCGACACGGATTCCATTTGAACGAATGGTTTTATAATTGTACCGGAATCGATGGATTCGCATTGGGAGTTCCTCGGCCATGGCTTGGTTCTTATTTTCTGACAGTCGGAGTTGTTCTGATGGTAAGAGATCATAACTAATAAAGTTTTCACAACTATGGTGGAAATATAACTTTTCCGATTCTCATATTTACAAAAATTCCTTAAAACAGAGAAACTTTTTAAGATTTGCCTTTTTTCGGAGTTACGGTTTACCTGACGGTGTGTAGTTATTAGTTTTCACTTAGCTATCGTGCCGCTTTGCATATGATATGATATGATATCGGTCGGAAGCGCAGCACGAAAGCGCAGCACATAGCTCAGCTGGAAGCGACGCGGCACCGTTAGACCCACAAGTTCAAGTCCCCGACGGGCTCATATGAACAAAACTTTGATTAAATTATTTTTTCATGTCCCACCACCTTTCAAGTTTCACGTTAGAGGCTCCTACTATCATAGGTTTTACGGCAAAGCAGGTTGTTCGGAAACAACAAAAAACAACAAAAACAACAAAAAACAACAAAACCAATGAGCATAATGCTGAAATATCGATTCATAAGTTTACAAACATTCATTGAAACAGAAAGTTTTTGAAAATGTAACAGTCAAGAGTTGGTGGTGGAAAAAATCATCCCATACCGTATTTCCTCTGATAGATGTCCATCCCAACCGTCAAGTTCAATTATCTCTATTGAGTTCAATTATTTCTATTCTTGTGCTGGACATCAAAAATATGTCAACTGATAAAATGTTTGGGGTCCCACGGTCATATGTTATACGTAAATCAAACTGGTGGCAATCAAATGTTCTCACTATCAGAAAAACCAAATCCGAATAGTTTGTTTGAGCCTAATGCTAATGCTAAAATGTATATTCACGAAATTACGAACTGAAACAGATTTTTTTTTCAAAAATTCAACAATTTTGAAAGCTGCTTGTTGAAAAAGTTCCAAAATAAAAAGTCTTCTATTACAGGCGTCTCAATGACCCTAATCATTTTCAGGCCATTTACATCCCTTGTCTAATCGTTATCTGTAAATCTGACCTCATGAAATCATCCTGCTACAAAATCATGGTTTGGCTCGGCATTCTCGATGTCTGCTGCATTTTTGTCAATTCCATCGCCACTGGCTTCTTAGGAATTCAAGGAGCCACATTGTGCTCCTACCCCGTATTCATATTTTCGATGGGAGCACTTGGATGTGGTAGGGGTACCGTAATCTTATAACCTGATTCAGTCATTTTTGTAGGATGCTGGATGGGTTCGTGTGCCACATGTATTCTCTTAGGTATCAACCGATGTTGCGATGTGAACCAAAATCTGAAAATTCGAAAAATCTTCCTTGGATGGAAAATCTATCCGACGCTTCTAGTCCCTGTTCTTTATACTCTTTACGCCATATTTTTCACAAAAACCGCCTCTTTCAATTCGAACCTAATGAGTTGGTTTTTCAATCCGTTACTTCCAAATGGGAGACTGGTAAGAGGACATCTGGATCTATTAAAAAGGGAAAACTTTTAGGCTACCGACTACGTCAATCTTCAACATGCTATAAACAATTGTATCGTTTCGGGAGCAACCACTTTGATCTACACCTACCTCTGTGTGATCTTATTTGCAAAGAGCAGGTTTATCAAGTCAGAATCAATGACCAAAACTCAGAGACAGGTAATTAGTCATCTAATTAAGAATATCAAAGTCCCTGGGTCCATTTACCGTATTTCAATTTAGGTATTCTTCCAATCCGTCCTGATCTGCTCCTTTAACGCTGTCGCTGCCTACATTTACGTCTACATGCAATACTTCACTCCAGCCCCAATTACCATTATAATCGGACAAATCGCTTGGCAATGGTCGCATGGTAAGAAACCCCGCTCCACTGATAACTAGCAAAAATTTGCAGGCTCTGTGTGCCTAATCTATATCACTATGAACCGATCCGTCCGTCGGGGAGTTCTTGATCTCTTCTTACCAAAATCTTTCCGGAATAAGCACAAAATTGGGACTTATCAGGAAAAGATTCATCGGTTATCGTTTAGTGTTGGCACTAAGGGAACGACCAAGGGACCAACAAGCTCAGGAACAGCGGTTTTCTAATTTTTGTGAAATTTTGAAAAAAAATACACATGTGCCCAAATATTAATACTTTATTTGACACAAATAAATGAAAAATCACAAAAGTTGAAAACCATGAAATGATCCATTAAGCCTTATACTTGGTCTCCGGCCAGTTGGCATCAATGTACTCCTTGAGCTCTGGCAGATTACGCATTCTCAGATAGTAGGCTTGCAGTTCTGGGAACTTTTCGAACACCTCGTCATCAAACTGAAAATATAACTCTTCAAATTTTGATCATTAGAGCGCAATTACTTCGTCAAGTGATTGAAGAACTCCCAAGATGTAGACATCACACCAGTGGATGGATTTTCCGACGAAATAGTCTCCCTTGCTCTTCTTCAACAGGTCTTGCATGATTTCCAGCTTTCCTGGCATCGTGTCCTTGTAGTGTTTTTGAAAACCCTCCTGGAAAATGAAGAAAATTTCATTTGAAAATTTGATCTTCTCACTTTGATGCTATCCGGAGCATACTTTGCCATGGCGGCCAACTGGAATAGATCCGCAAATCCATCAGCCATCATGTCCACTTTGGCCGAGTCGGTCTTCGTGGCACCGCCCAGCCATCTATCTGGATGAACTGATTTGGCCAGGTAACGACAGATGGAAACCGTTTGGCAGAGAGTGACTTTGCCTCCGTCTATTTCGATGAATGGAACTTGTTTCATTGGGGCTTCTGGAAATGGAAAAGATGAGGTTTAGGTTCTGGGGTGGTTTCAAAGATTCTTGGAGTTTTGGAATTGATATTTTGAATTTTGGATATTAAATGTTCGGAACCCTTGAAATATATAAATGTTGGAAGTTCCACCTGGGAATATCAAAATCTCTGAAATTATTCAAGTTTCTCAACTTTTCTTCAATTTGAAAAATGATCTGAGTTTTATTTCGAATTTTTCGAGTTTTCAAGACTTAAATGCTGAAAATCCAGAATATTGGAACTTTGGTATTTTAGAATATTGAAATTCAAGAATCTTTGGGTGAAGGAATTTACAAATTTGGAAATCTGAGAATTTCTGAGTTTCAGAGTTTTTCAAAATTTCCGAATTTTCTAAATTTTGTAATTCAAGTTAAAAAAACAATCAATTAGGAATTTCAAACTATTGAAATTTCAGACTCTTCTGGTCTGAGAATCTCAGGATCTGAAAATTTCAATTTTTTGAATTTATGAATTTCTGAATTTTCTGGTTGTTCTAAATTTTTTAATTACTTGAATTTTCTGAAACTTTTCAACTTTCTGAACGTTTTGAGAATTTCTACATTTTCTGGAAATTCAGAATTTTTTTGAAATTCAGAATCTCAAGATCTCAGGAAACATTTTTTCGCTGTTTCAAAATTTTTAAAAAATGTTTTGGACAATCAATTTTAACAATATCTTCATACTTTTATTATCCAGTGCCTCTAATAAGTCTTATAAGTCTAATAAGTAAAGTTTATCAATGTACTTTAAATAAAAATTGAAACACAACCATTTTTCTCTGTTTCAATTTATCAGATTTCAAAAGCTCAGAATCTGGGAATCCTATTTTTTGAACTTTAAAAACTATTGTACCTCAAGCCCTCTCCTCTTGTTCCCTTCTACCCCCAGACCATTATATTGACACATATTCACATATCCTTCAAAAGGACTGCTACTGCATTTCAAAAACGTTATTCCCCGATATCTCTGCGTCTCTCAATTTCACTCACTGTCTTTCAATGCTCCAGTGAACTCTCCCTGCTCCATGCGATAATCCTCGAAGTCGACGCCGAGAAAACTACAAACAGAATTTTGGAATTTTGAAAATTTGGATCTATTTTCAGTATCTTTATCCAAATAACTTGGAAATTTAGGAACTGCCCATTAGAACTCAAAAAAAGCTAGATAAAAAGATAGTCCCTGAAAAAAGCTAGCTAAAAAGACAGAAGCTCAAAAAAAGCTAACTTACTGAAAAACGAGACGAATCGGTTCGGCACGTCCTCTGGCATTCCCATAGTACAGTTTGTAGCGATGCTTTTGGTCCGGTGACATTCTTTAAAAATTGAGCAAATGAAAAAAGTTACTTCTTCTTGAAATGTATATAGAAGAGAAGAAGTGAAGTCGTGGGTAGTGAGAGGGGACGGAGGAGATGGGGCGGCGACAAGCCAATAATCAAAAACACGTTTTTTGGTGTGGGGCTCGCGGAGCAAAAACGAGATGAAGGAGGAAAATAGGAGAAGGGGAAGAAGGAGAGATTTATTGTGGATACAAATGGAGAGAATTGGAAATAGAAGAAGAGAAAGAAGCATGAATGAACGAGGGAAACAAAAGGTTGGGAAGGGAATGATGGAGAGAGAGAGAGAGAGAGAGAGAGAGAGAGAGAGAGAGAGAGAGAGAGAGAGAAGTCAAACACCAAGTTCTAGGAACCACAGAGGAAATGAAGCATGCATAAGTTGAGAAGGTGAACTTTTTCAATGAGAAGAACACACAATTTTTGAGTCGAGAGCCTTTTTATCTAGCCGGTCTAGCGGTAAAGTGGGTGTAAGCCGGGTATCGGACAAAAATATATCATACCATCCTAATAACCACACCTTCGGCGCATCAAACAGCTGACTGGTGCGCTTTTAGCGCGATTTGATCTAGTTTTTACTGGTTAATCTCTTCGCTCCACATATTCTCTAATTTAGAGTCCGAGATGCGGCAAACAAGGGTACAATTGAAATTTTAAGGGTATATTGTACCACTGAAATGAAAATTTGTTTCTCCTGAAATTTTCAGAAAAGTCGGAACATTTTGAACTATTTTTTCAGGACATCAAAGTACACTATCTTAAGGGAAAAAATCGAAAATAAGATTTTCAGTTCTTTACATATTTGCCATAACCTTTGGCTTAAAAATTTTTTTAAATTTTAGGCTAGATTAACACCAGAATTAACACCAGAAAAGGCAGTTTTTTTGCAGTCAGCAAGAAAAATTGAGTGAGGCGAGCTCATTTTTTTAGGAGTCCTATATTTTGACCGTAAAAACAGCTATAAAAGGGTCTAGAAATTTTCAAGTTTGAGCCCATATATCTTATTTTCTGGAAAAGATACCAAAAAGTGCTTACCGTATAACCTGTATTAGAAGGGCCGGCCCTTCTATTTTTCTTGGGGTCTTTAGGGGGGGCACTTCAATTAGAGGGGCCCTTCAATTAGAGGGGCCCTTAATTAGAGGGTGCACTTGTATTTTTCGTGGGGTCTCTGAGGAAGGCACTTTTACTAAAAGGATAACGTATTTCGGTGAAATTTGTGTTTTTCCTACTTAAAATCTTCTATAATTTGCGTATACCAATGCAAACAACATCTAAAAAAACACCAGAGAAACAGCTTCTTTAAGTTCCTTGTTCAATTGGATTTCATAAGAATTCAATCTTTGGACACATTGACAAGAATTGTGAAAATTTCAACCGGTTTTCGATAATTTAGCAAAGGGGTACTTCAATTAGAGGGGGTACTTCAAATAGAGGAGCACTTCTATTTTTCGTGTGGTCTCTATGGCGGGTACTTCAATTTCAGGGGCCCTTCTAATACAGGTTTTACGGTAAATGACAAAATATTTGTCATAAAATTTATGACTCATAATATCCTTAACATTTTAACAGTTGACCAATTTTTGATATCTCTTACAGAAATTGAGATAATTGAGCTCAAAGTGCAAGTACAGGGAGTTCTACTAAAAGAGCATTTACTGTAGCCTCATTTTTCACTAAAGAAAGACGCCTAAAAGCTCACTTGACTGACTACATACAATTCGAAAGTAAAACATTGGCGAGTGTATTTTCCCCTCTTTTCTCAAGAAGACACGACGACGTCGTCGTGGAAAGAGAGGTGGAGTTTGAGCAGCACACACACCGCGGAGCACATACGATGACAATTGACGAGAATACGAAAAAGAGAAACGGAGAAATGGACTTTGCTCGGTTTGTGTCTGGCGGATATATATGGTTTATTATTCATCAGAAAAGAGTAATAAGAAGGAAGAAAATAAGAACTTGGGAGATCAAAGGAACATGTTGTAATTCTCTAGAAAACAGTTCCAGAACTGGTTCCGGTTCTTGTAGTCCCTCCGATTTTTGGTTCCATTCCAATCACGCTCAAAATCGGTCTGGCTATGTTGGCGGCTCGATTTGTTCCGATGCGAGCTTTATCCCGGATGACACGTGGCACAACCAAATCAATCACTCCACGACGGACCGTCTTATTCATGGTGATATAGATCAAACAGACCGAACCTGAAAAATGCTTTGAAACTCCTGGAGGATGACTAAATTTCGTATAGCAAAAAGTGCAAGTCACACTTTTCAAAAAAATGCTGACAAAAAGTTGGCATAAAAGAAAATTTCGGTTTCCTAGCAACCGCTTTTCGTTCTAGTGTGCTTTTTGTGTGCTCACTCACCATGAGCACACTGCCAAGCGAGTTGACCGATAAGAACGACGGATGGAGGGGAATAAAAGAATTGCATGTAGACGTAGATGTAGGCGGCGATGGCGTTGAACGAGCAGATGAGCACGGATTGGAAGAAGATCTTGAAAAAATTCAGATTTTCAGTATTTCAGATTTTTCGACTTTCAAAGTTTCTTTAATTTCAGGATTCCTGAGTATCTGAATTTCTGAAATTCTGAAATTCTGAATGTCAGGATTTCTGAGTATCTGAATTTCTGAAATTCTGAATTTCTGAATTTCTCAATTTCTGAATTTCTGAATTTCTGAATTTCTGAATTTCTGAATTTCTGAATTTCTGAATTTCTGAATTTCTGAATTTCTGAATTTCTGAATTTCTGAATTTCTGAATTTCTGAATTTCTGAATTTCTGAATTTCTGAATTTCTGAATTTCTGAATTTCTGAATTTCTGAATTTCTGAATTTCTGAATTTCTGAATTTCTAATTTTCTGAATTTCTGAATTTCTGAATTTCCGAAATAGGGGAATTTCTCATTTTTAAGAATCGGAATATTCTGAAAATCTGAAATTCCGAAAAGACCATTCCAAACATCCCTGTGATCACCTACCTGTGTCTGAGTCTTCGAAATCGATTCTGAACGAAAATGCTTGCTTTTTGCAAACAACAAAATACACAGGTACGCATAAATCGCAGTGGTAGCTCCAGAAACTACACAATTATTTATGGTATGTGCGATATTCACGTAATCAGTTGCCTGAAATCTGATTCCTAATTTTGAAATCTCACTCTTAACAGACCTCATGTCCCGGTAGCATTGGATTGAAGAACCAGCTCATATAATTGGAATTAAAAATGATTGGTTTGGTGAAAAATGTCGAGTAGATGGTATAGAGAATAGGAATAGAAATCGTAAAATACATTTTCCGACCCAGGAAAATTGTGCGGATCCGGAGATGTTGATTGACATCGCAACATCGGTTGATGCCTAAGAGGATACACGAAGCACATGATCCCATCCAACATCCTAAAAAATAGATTCATCAGATGTTTTTCAGTTGATTTTTGGCTGTTTTGACGGAATCTGAAGCTCGACTGTTAAGTTTCTAATCACTTTCAAAATTTTGAAGGATGTAAAACTGATCTAGATTATTAAAAACGTTGCATTCACAGAATTTTTGAAATACCCTAGTTTTTCAGCTATTTTGCCGACGCTTATTTTTGACCGTTTTCAGTACAAAAACTAGCTCAAAGGGGCGTCTTTCAGAAATCGGAAATAAAATGAATTTTCAAAACATTCTGTGAATGCAAATTTTTCAATCTAGGTCTGTTTTACAAGCTCCAAAATTTTCAAAATGATTGGAAACTCGATAGCCAAGCTGCAGCCTTTTGAAAATTGTCAAAATAACCGAAAATTGACTGAAAAATACTATTTTGTATACTTTATTGACCGGTAAGTTAATTCTTAATCTAGAGATTTAGCATTTTTTCATATATTTCGATTTGATAGTGAGGATAATGTAATGAACAAAGAAAATATATTATTTACTTTTCTCCTTTTCAATTTTCTAAAAATTATTCACTGTTTCGAAAAATTATAGAATTTGTTAAATAAAACATGACGTTTTCGATGAGAACCTGATATTGCCAATTTTGAAAATCAACCTTGAAAATATGATTTTGTAGATGTCATTTACCAGTAAATATTCATTAAATTTCAATTGGGTGACATACCACATCCCAGCGATCCCATAAAGTATATAAAAAGTGGATAGGAGCAAAACGTGGCTCCTTGGATTCCAAGAAAACCAGTTGTCACTGAATTGGTTAAAATACAGCAGATGTCAAGGATCCCAAGGCAAACCATGATTTTGTAGCATGACGATTTCATGAGGTCACTTTTCCAGATCACGATTAGACACGGGATGTAGATGATCTAGAAAAGACGAGTTGAGCAAGGTTTGGGCAAGTTGCCAGTAGCCCTATCATTCGGAGAAGGCCCAAGAGCTCCAGGACCAGCTGGAGATACCGGATCCCCAGGACAACCAAGAGGACCAGGACAGCCAAAGCGTCCAGGAAAGAATGCTCAAGGAGGATCTCGACGTCCAGGACTACATGGGCCACCAGGACCACGTGGACCACCTGGAAACAATGGAGCACCAGGTGGTGGATACGGAGTTGGACCACCGGGACCACCTGGACCAAATGGACGGCGATGAGACCCAGGACAGTCAGGACCAGACGGACAGCCGGGAGATCCAGGAACTCCAGGAACCAATGCCGCCTACTGCCCATGCCAAAACTTGTCAAAAATTGAACTCACCAACAAAACCACTCCAACTGTCAGGAAATACGCTCCAACGTACTGTCTAGGCTGTCCCAATGCAAATCCATCAACTCCATCGCATCCATAAAAGGGTTGATTTAACTTCAAACCATTTCGGAACACATAGTTTAGACTCTGGTCCAAATCGCTGGTCAGAAACTCCATAACGGCCAAAAAAGAGGTATCTAAACTGTGGACCCATCCCTTTTAAACCCCCGATTTACGATAATCCCCACTACGGTAGTCCATATTTGCATAGAATCTTATTTTCCGAATTCACAAATTAACGGATTACACTTTTTTACTATAGGATGTGTCGCCACCCCGTGTGACTGAATGAATGAGTAGAAAATTTCGAAGGATTAGTAGTAGGCTCAAAGATGCTGTTAATTTGAGCGATCAAATGAATCAAAAACTAGAGATTAGTCAGGATGGTAGACTCTAGCCTAGTAGCGGACATCCGGACAAACAGAAATCCATTTTTCAGTAGATTTGTGCTCCAAAATTGACCAACAATTCCAGGTTTTAAAATTTTAGCAAATGCTAATATTTATCAATATTCTGTTCTAGCATCTTTCAGCTTCAAAATGCGCCGAAAATCATTGAAAACGGTAAACTACAAACCGAGTTATGAGCTTTTAAAGTTTAGAAGAGATGCAGAGAAACGAGAGTTCTCTGGTTTCTCTTCGTCTCTTCAGGTCGTCTTAGGTTCATACCGTGCTTCAAAATAATTCGTTTTCGGTAATTTTGGCTCATTTTTCCGGAATTTTTTTACTTATCTGTAAAAAAACTGTGCGTAACTTTGAGCATGAGCTTCTGTAAGTGATAGCAAAAAGTGACCAAATTATTACTGTTTCAAAAATTTTTCAAATTTTTTGTTTTTGCATTCTATGGTAATTTTTTTGGCCTTTTCAGTTGTTATGACGATTTTTCTAGTTTGTCAGCTAGCATAACTTTTGCGCTAAATTCCGTGAATTTTTTGCAGTTTCAGGAATCCTTTTTATAACTTTTTTACTGTCAAATGTGCTTGGCAGGCCATATTACCCAACCAACCCAATCTATCTTTTCTGTTCAAAAATCAAATTATTTGTTGTTCACATCACATTTTTCCCAATTCTCTTCTCCCAAGAAAATTCTCAATTAGCTATCCTTTCAACCAGTTATGTGTCCTGTGTCCACTTCCTTTTTATTTTCCTGCTAACTGCTAAACCATCATCAACTGTCCCCGGTAGAACCGTTTTTGACGGCAAAACGGCGATTCGGCGAAATCAACTGACTCTCGAAAACAGAAATAGAATGCGTTGGACGAGAGACGCAGACACTTGAGAAGATGTTTTGATGATAGAAGAAGGACAAGGACGTTCGGGATGGGGTCGGAGACGCAGAGATGTTATTCGGTCAGGAAAAAATTGGAAAAGAAGATAGAAAAGATAGGAAAAATGGGAGGAGAGTGCCCTTGAAAACAGTTTTCAAAACTTTAAGGAAGAGATGTGGCCCAGTATAAAAGAGTTACCAGGTTGACGAATTCTTCAGTCGGTACAGCAATGACCGCTTCAACAACGTTTGCCGCGTCGGCAGCAATCCTTTCGGGGGCAACGATCGTCGGATGTCTCTTCTTCGCCGCTCAAATCTTCAATGAGGTCAATTCCCTGTATGATGACGTCATGGTCGACATGGATGCTTTCAAGGTGAGTCTAGAAGAGATTCTTCAGCTGTAACAGACCATCAATGCTTCAGGTGAAGTCCAACATCGCCTGGGACGCTATCAACGACGTCGTCGCACCAAAGGGAGGAAACCCATTCATTCGTGAGAAGAGAGGATACGCTCAGTATGGAGGAGGACATGGTGGAGGTGGATATGGAGGTGGTGGACACGGAGGAGGTCATGGAGGAGGTTACGGAGGTGGTATGGGAGGAGGTGGCGGTGGTGGATACGGAGGTGGTGGCGGCGGCGGCGGAGGTTGCCAATGCTCCCCAAGCTCCAACACCTGCCCACCAGGACCACGTGGACCACCAGGACAAGCCGGACTCGATGGACTTCCAGGAGCCCCAGGACAGCCAGGAGCCAACGGAGGAGCTGGATCCAACGGACAATCTGAGGGAGGAGCCGGAGCATGCAAGACCTGCCCAGCCGGACCACCAGGACCACCAGGACCAGCCGGACAAGCTGGACGCCCAGGAAACGACGGGCAGCCAGGAGCCCCATCCTACGGAGGAGGTCCAGGAGCACCAGGAGCCCCAGGACCAGCCGGAGACGCCGGATCCCCAGGACAACCAGGAGGACCAGGACAGCCAGGACGTCCAGGAAAGAATGCTCAAGGAGGATCTCCCCGTCCAGGACCACCAGGACCACCAGGACCACGTGGACCACCAGGAAACAATGGAGCACCAGGAGGTGGATACGGAGTTGGACCACCAGGACCACCAGGACCATCTGGACGCCCAGGAGGCCCAGGACAGCCAGGACCAGACGGACAGCCAGGAGCTCCAGGAAATGATGGAACTCCAGGAACCGACGCCGCCTACTGCCCATGCCCATCCCGTGGAGGTGGTGGATACGGAGCTGGAGGACATGGAGGAGCCGCCGTTGGAGGGGGAGCCCATCCACAAGGATACTCGAGAAGAAAGGTAGCTCGCAAGGTTTTGGCCAAGAAGCGCGTCGCTGTTCACCGTCGTGTTGCTGTCAACCGTCAAGCTGCTTAAATCATTTCATCAAGTTTCAAAATAAACGATTTGCATATCATTTTTTTTAATCAAGAAAAAAACTACTTCATTATAAATTACAGACAAAGTTTCAATACCTCGTATTTAGTTGGGGGACATAAAAAACAATAAAAATGAGATTCATCCTAGATTGAAGCCAGCTCCGCCATTTCCAGCGCCCAAGAATTGTCCGAATAGTTTGAAAAGATCGTTGCCAGGATTTATAGGTACTCCAGGAATGATGGCGGCTGAAAAATGATCCAGAAGTTAGACAAGTAGAGTCTAAGGCTTCCAATCGAACGGGAAATTCAGTCGACCGAGCTGACCGATCGCTCAACTTGGTCGGCGGTCCCGTGAACCCTTAGTAGAGTCAGACAGAAAAAAAAATCTCACGTGCTGGTGCTGAGGTAGTCGTTGATGGCGCTGGAATCTCTACACATTTCCCATTTTTCGGTGCAAATCCACATCTACACATGCATCGTCCGCGATAGCAGCCAGAGTTTGGAGGACACTGTTTTTGAATGAAGCATAGGGAATTAAGAGGGACCGCCTGGAAATTTAAGGTTCTCTAAATCTTGATTTTAAAAGATATGGAGGTGGTGGTGGTGGCGGCGGCGGATGCCTATGGTCCCCCAGGTTCTAACACCTGCCCACCAGGACAAGCCGGACTCGATGGACTTCCAGGAGCTCCAAGACACACAGGAGCCATCGGAGGAGCTGGACCTAACGGGGAGGAGCCGGAGGATGCAAGACCTGCCCAGCCGGACCGCCAGGACCAGCAGGATCAGCTCGGAAAGCTGGACGCCCAGGAATTCAATGTATTTCAAGAATCCCACCTTCATGCAACTGGTATCCTTTGACAAATTCTCATTCTCACAATCTCTCGAACACGATTGTGATGGATTTTTCAGCGGATTAGTAAGCACATCGACAGCTGGATGGAAGTTTTGCTGACACTGACACTGTCCTTTCATGCATTCCATGCCTTCTCCACCTCCGCACTGAGCGTTTGATATGCAGGCAGAGTTGAGTTGTCCACGTGGAATACACTGATTGTTGGCGTAGAGAGCGTTCGGAGCCATCGCGTTACAAGGACGACGACAGCAGACTGCTTGGGAGAAACTGCCGTCTGAAATTTTTAATTGTTTTTGGAAAGGATGTTAGGCTCCGACAGGATTTTCTATTCCCACTTTGAGCTCAATTATCTCAATTTCCATGAGAGATATCAAAAGTTTGTCAAGTGATAAAATTTTTGTCATATTATCATTAACATTTTATTAGTTTACAAAATTTTTATATCCCATACAGAAATCGAGATAGCTGAATTACCAGTCGGTTTGAGCCCCCTGCCGGGGGCTCAACCTCCTGGCTTCTGTATCATATTTGAATTTCTAATTTCAGTGTTTCCCCCTTCTCACGTGCGAGAAACTTCTGAGTATTTTAATTTTCGAGGTTTTCGATTTTCTTGAAATCTGCACTTCTGAATACTATATTTTCTCTGATAGAAGCCCCCTTTTTTATAGATCGCCTCTAATGTTTGAGGACCGCCTCTAATAGCTCACTCTTACTGTGCAGTTCTTGTCGTTTTATAACTATTCCAGTTCAGTTTAAAAGAAGGAAAAAGGAAAAATAAAAGCCCATCGGCCTCTAAAAGAGGAAATGCGGTATCTGAATTTCACGATGCCTGAACTTTTGAAATTCTAGAATCCGTAATACTTCAATTCCTCTGAATTTCTGAAAGTCAGAATTACAAACACACATAACTATTTCTAAGCCTTTGGTTCTAGAATACTGTTTGAGCTATTTGAAAAATCTTGTTTTGGAAGTGATGAAAATTTGTGATGCGGAACTTTTTTATTGCATACTTCTGAAAATCTGACTATCTGTAATTCAGAAATTCGGTGATTTTGAATTTTCAAATTTTTTAGATTTTCTGAGTTTTTCAGATCCTCAATTTTTCGTATTCAGAAATTAAAAAAAAAAACTAAAAAATTCAGAAATCCATAAATGCCGAAATGCGGAATATCAGAAATTGAAAATTCAGATACTCAGATGAATTATCCAGATATCCAGAAGATATCCAGATAAATTAAGATATTCAGAAAAAAAAAATCTGAGATAATCAGAAATTCAAAAATTCCGAGAGCTTCTAAATTGGAATATTCCTATATTCCAAAAAATTGAAATTCAGAATTTTCGACACTCCGAAAATTCTGAAAGGCCATTCCAAGCATATATGATCTTATAGAGAGCGCATGTTCAGACCATGCAGGGGCTAACGAAACCTCGGTTTACTTCTCTGAACGTGGTCTCTTCATACATAATTTCAAAGTGTTGGTTCATATTATGGGAAATTTCGGCATACTCGCGGAACCTGACACTGTGAAAAAGAAAAAAAACTCTTAATAAGGAACCAAATCATTCAAACAATGATACAGAGCCAAACACGTAAAAACCTTAATAAAAAATCCTATGAAATTTTTAGAAACTCTGAAATCTGGAAACTGGAAAATGGGAACTTTCAGTTATGTGTCAAAAAGGCGATTTTCTCCCTAGCTTTTGCGAGATATTTATTGCCATATTCGTTTCCCAACTGTGCAAATCTCAAAATCATCAAAATAATGTTCAGTGCAATCTCAAGCTCCAATTTTCTGTTTGGAAAGTGATTCAGTTAATTTTTGGAAAAATTGATTTTTTTTTGAATATACCCTCAGAAAGTTTTAGAAGTATCTAAAAATGATGCATGTAGAACTAAATACATTTTAACCCACATTTCTAGCGGGCCACAGGATCGAAGTTGAAGTGATTCTCGAAAAAAAAAGCAAAATTTCATTCTTTAATTTTGAAGATTTGATTTTTTTTTAATTTTGAAGATTTTTATTTTCTGTAGGAAACACATAGATAGTCCCAGAAAACGTTTTGCAGTATTTCATGAAGTTTTAGTGAGTTTTAGAATAATTTTGAAAATTTCGATTCTCAGCCCTGTAGGTTCCCTATAAGCTAGAAGACCCAAGACACCATAGACATAAAGCGCTCGGTAGTTCATGACTACATACCACACACCACTATAGCAGTCCCATGTCCCTTTGAGTTATTCAAGTAAATGTCCGAGACGGACACACAGACACACACACAGAAAAGTTTCCTTAGCAAGAAACCAGTCGGTTTAAGTCCCTATCGGGGGCTCAACCTTTTGGCTTTCGTTCACTGTATTTTACAATTAAATTTCTAAAGTCTAGATTTTCCACTTTTCCGAGTGCCTGAAACTTCCAAGTATTTCGATTTTTAAATTTTGGATGTTACTAATATGGGAATTTCTAGATAAAGTAATTTCTCCAATAGAAGCACACATCTATTTGATGCCCACCTCTGATAAAACAGACGTACTTTTTTTTTCATTTTTCTGATAATTTCTGTTAAGACTTGTCGCTTTTTTGAGAAAAAAAGATATCCGATTTTCTGAATTTCCGAGTTTCTACATGACAGAATACATGTTTCTTGAAAAGGGAATACAATTGTTTGATTTTCTAAAGTCTCGAATTTCTAACCTAAAATCCTTAATTGTCGAATTTCTGCATTTCCGAGTTTTTTAAATACTCGGCTTTTCCGAATTCCTGAATTTTTGAATTACCCACATACATCAATATTTCTAAGCCTTTGGTTCGAGATCACAATGAAAGTATAGAGAAAATGCTGCAATATTTTTGTAGAGAAAGCAAAATTTGAGAAAGTTCGAGAGTATATTCTAGAATGTTCTGGAATTATCTGGAATGTTCTGGAACTTTCTGAAATTTTCTGGAACTTTCTGGAATTTTCTAGCATGTTCTAGAATGTTCTGGAAATTCCTAAAATGTTCTGGAACTTTCTAGAACGTTGTGGAACTTTCTGGAATTTTTTAGAATATTCTGGAGTTTTCTAGAGTGTTTAGGAACTTTCTAGAATGTTCTGAAACTTTCTTGAATTTTTTGTAATTTTTTGGAATTTTCTAGAATTTTCTGGAATTTTCTAGCATGTTCTAGAATGTTTTGGAACTTTCTGGAATTTTCTAGAGTGTTCAGGAACTTTCTAGAATGTTCTGGAATTTTCTAGAATGTTTTGGACCTTTCTGGAATTTTCTGGAATTTTTTGAAATTTTCTGGAATTTTCTAGCATGTTCTAGAATGTTCTAAATTGTTCTGGAGATTCCTAGAATGTTCTAGTACTTTCTAGAATGTTCTGAAACTTTCAGGAATTTTTTGTAATTTTTTGGAATTTTCTAGAATTTTCTGGAATTTTCTAGCATGTTCTAGAATGTTTTGGAACTTTCTGCAATTTTCTAGAGTGTTCAGGAACTTTCTAGAATGTTCTGGAATTTTCTAGAATGTTCTGGACCTTTCTGGAATTTTCTGGAATTTTTTGAAATTTTCTGGAATTTTCTAGCATGTTCTAGAATGTTCTAAATTGTTCTGGAGATTCCTAGAATGTTCTAGTACTTTCTAGAATGTTCTGAAACTTTCAGGAATTTTTTGTAAGTTTTTGAAATTTTCTAGAATTTTCTGGAATTTTCTAGCATGTTCTAGAATGTTCTAGAATGTTCTGGAACTTTCTGGAATTTCCTGTAATTTTCTAGAGTGTTCTAGAGTCTTTTGAAATTTTCTAGAATGTTCTGGAACTTTCTGGAATTTTCTGAAACTTTCTGGAATTTTCTAGAATGTTCTGAAATTTTTTAGAATTTTCTGGAATGTTCTAGAATTTTGCGCATAACTTAAGAACCTTGTATTCTGTAGAAAATTACTATGACCCATTTTCAGTAGTCCACAGGATCGAAATTTAAGTGATATACGAAAAAAAAATAATTTAAAAAATTTTTAAGTTTCGAAGATTTGTGCTCAATTTTATGCAGGCAACACATAGATAGACCAAAAAACCGCTTTGCAAAATTTCATGAAGTTTTATTGAGTTTGAGCATAATTTTGAAAATTTCGATTCTCAATCCTATAGGTTCCCTGTTAGCTAGAAGGCCCAGGACACCATAGACATGAAGCGCTCGGTAGTCCATGACTACATACCACACACCACTATAGGAGTCCCACGTCCCTTTGAGTTATTCAAGTTAATGTCCGAGACGGACACACAGACACACACACAGAAAAGTTTCCTTAGTAAGAAGTAGATAGATAGTATGAACCATATAGTATGAACCGTATTTCTTCTAATAGAAGCCCACCCAAACAGTCAACTTTGAGCTCAATTATCTCGGTTCCTATAAGAGCTATCAAAATTTTGTTAACCTATACAATGTTAGTAATTGTACGGGAAATAATTTATCACTCGACAAGTTTGCGATATCATTCACAAGAACCAAGTTAATTCACTCCGAAGTTGGAGGTTGGGTCGGCTTCAATTAGATGGAATACGGTAGATTTTAAATGACACCTAATCATTAATTAGACTTTTTCAACTCAAGCAAAAATGCTCACCCGACAACAAATGACAAAAATGCGAGTCAGATGGACATTTTAGAGCTGGTGCCGCATCTGGATCACATGAATACTTGACATCCACGTGGCTGGCCAATGGGCAGACAACGGGACAACAGTGGCCTGAAAATTTGTTGTGAATATCATATACCGAAAAACCGTAATAGTTAAGGGACCCTTCTATTACAGGGTTTTTGATATTGGACTAACAGTTTCAGTACTTTTGAATTTATGCTACAGTTTTTTTCATATATCTAAAAATAATTTCTACATTAATTTTGAATTTCACCAACTGGAAATATTTTTTTGTGAAACAGAAATCTTACCAACTTGACTATCCGCAGCTGTGACACAAACTTGACCAGATGGACAATTATCCTGGTTTGGTGGGATGTTGAATGCAAGACTTGGGTCGGATCGTCGGACGCAGCTTTGACCAGGAAGACCTCCGAGGGGGCAGTTGGCAGCGGCCACACATCGGGAGCCCTGAAAGCATAGGTTATAGGTTTTTTGACTTTTTTTGTTTTTGGCCCAGTTTCTAATTTTCTCTATGTTTCTGGGGTTCGAAATTCCGTTCGTATGATCCTTTAAAACCAAAAAGTTGGTGGCCTAGAAAACTACATTTACGAAAATTAGGCATGGGAAACGGCCTAGCACAGCAGGTGCATGTTAGACCATTTCTGGACCATCAACAACGGTGGCCTAGGAATATCATGTTGAGAAAGTTAGGCCACTGTACTCCTAACATGAAACAAGAGCGTTTTTGAGTTAAATTATCTTAATTTTGGTCAGAGATGTCAACCCACCGCCCATTGACAACATATTTTAAATGTTCAATTTTAATGTTTTATAGAAACCGAAATTATTCATAGGAAGTACGGTATTGTCCCCCGCCTTTGTGTTTTTAGTACGCTTACCTGCTGAATAGTTCCAGAAATACAAACACATTGTGAATTCAGACATGCTGAGAATGGCGATGTACAATCATAATGACGGGAGCATCTGTCGCCAACTCTTGAAGTCGTGATACATTCTCCATTCGATATTCTTGTTGTTCCTCTTTGAACACATTGACATTCTCCGTTTCGGCAGAATAGCGGCTCGCGACACTTATTGGCACACTTCGCGCCAACTTTTGCGGGTACTGAAAAAATGTTCTATTGAATAGATTTGGATTATGAGATGCTGTTGGAGCCTTATGACATGATAGCATCACTTTGACTTCGAATATCTCGGTTCCTCGAATAGGTATCAAAAATCTGTCAACTGATAAAGTGTTTTTAATAATATGGTAAACAATTTATCAGCTAATAATTTGTAGAAATTTTTTACAGGAAATGAGAAAAATAGGCTCAAAGTTGTCAGGCGCGCTTCCATTAAATGAGCTAACATAACCTAAGAACTGCAAAGTTTAAGCTCAATTACCTCAATTCCTGTGAAAGATATCAACTATTTGTCAACTGATAAAATTTTTGTGATGTTATGATAAACATTTTATCAGTGAACAACTTTTTGATATCTCTCATAGGAACCGATATAAATTCGCTCAAAGTTGAAGCTTCCTTTAGAGGTTTCATTTTGAAAAAAAACTCACGAGGTGAACATTTTGGAAGTCTTCCTTTCTCATCCCGAGTTTCCACATAATGTGGGTGACATCTAAATTCTTGGCTTTTCTCCAATAATTCAAAAAATTGAGATCTCACCTGCATTTTCCTCTCAAACAAATCGATCCCTTATTGTCACAGTCTCCATTAACATCGCATACATCATTTAAGGCGGATTTTCCTGAAAGTGAGACTATTTTTTCAAAAATTTTAATATAATTTAGTTCTAATAACACTTTTCTGTTTTGAGGTTTTTATTTCTTTTCTGTGAAACTGTGAAAAATTGTAACATTATCTCGAGCCTTTAAATGATAGGAAATACGAAGCTTCCTAAGTTTAAAGGCGCATAACTCGAAAACTAGGGGCTCTCAAAAAGATTTTTAAAAAACGAAAATGTGTAAAATTGTTGGCTATACAATTTCATAGTTGTAATTTTCCTCTAGCTCTCCTAATTTTTTATTCTCCTTTAAGGTTTGCGTACTAGAAAAAACCAGATGCCCTGAGTTTAAATGCGCATCTCTCAAAAACTACGACAGCTAGAAACATTTCAAAAATATAGATATGTGTAAAATGTTTAGCTTAACAATTAAATTAAAAATTGTTTTTTTTTAAATTTCTTTTCTGTGAAACTGTGGAAAATTGTAACATTATCTCGAGCCTTTAAATGATAGGAATTAAAAATTGTTTAATTAAAAATTGTTTGTCTACCTTCTCTAGTTTTCGAGCTATGCGACTTTAAAAGGTTCCAAGTTTTTTAAAAAAAACTACCAAAACCTTACCATTGCAAGGTGAAAACATCTGGGACTCGACGATCCACACAACATTTATTAGTAAAAGCGAAAACTGTATAAAATTGGGTAACATTTTTGAATAATACACAAAAGTTTGAGAGAACAGAAGAAAGGGAGAATAGATATACACACACGCAGAACCGATGAATTTGGCCTACATTAGAAAGAGAAAAGACGAAAGGAGAAGCAGTGGAGAGAAAGAAAGACAGAAAAGATTGGAGAGGAATCCGGGAAAGGAAAAAGGCGACGATTCAGATGTGAATAGAAAATATCGATTGGACTGAAGATACTTAGATAGAGTGGGATATTGTAACACTCTCCCTTTTGAAGAAGCGTAATAATGATGAATCATTAGAAAAGAATGACGTAATGCGTCTGAAAAGATCTCGAGTGTCTGTCTGTGTGTCGGTGTGTCCAAATAAGTTCAAAACTTCATTAAACATTTTTCATAAAAATCAACATTAACTGGAAAGGCTTTCAACACTCGTCTCAATTCGATATCTTCGGTGAAGCGGCGAGAAGATCTCTGGAAAAAAATAATTTTTTAGAATAATTTTTTTTCTGTTTCAATTAAATTTGATCAAATCTTACAATCAGAATCTATTGATGCTTTGAAGATAACTCTATCGTACTTGTAATTAAGGTTCAATTATCTCAATTTCTATAAGAGCTTCTTAATTTAATTTTAATTAAAATTTCTAAATTTAATTTTAATTTTATTTATTTATTTCAACGAAGGGGAGAAAACCACTAACACGTGAAATGTCTATAAATCACTTACGGTTTTTCAAAATCATAAACTTTCTGAAAACTTTTTTGCAAGATCAGAAAGTTTTCCCACCTCTAGATTCGGAAGCATCGATAGAATATTGCCCATTCGAATTGGCGCGTCTTCCGAATTCTTTGTGTTTTTGAAATAATGAATTATCTCTTTTTGAACAGTGTCTCGAACTCGCCTACTAATTTCTACGCAATCGTCAGATTGGCCTTCTAGTCCTGAAAATTATGAGATGTGAACTATCGTAAAGACTCTAATGGAAGGCCCCTCTGTCAAATTTAAGCTTAATAATTTTGGTTTACAGGCAAGGTATCGAAAAATTTTTAACGGCTCAGTATCCAAGGGTACATCGAAAAAAGGTACATCGAGATCTTAGGGTACATTGGATCAGAGGGTACATCAGATCTTAGGGTACATCTGGGAGGTAGGTTCAAGGGGTACATCTCATGGTGGTTCTAAGGGTACATCAGGGAAAGGATCCCAGGGTACATCGAAACGTTCTTAGGGTACATCAATCAAAAATACTGTAGTTGTCCACTGGAAGATATTTTGGTCCCCTAAGATTTGATGTACCCTCTGATCCAATGTACCCCGATGTACCCTCGATGTACCCTTTTCTGATGTACCCTTGGATACTGGGCCATTTTCAACTGATAGGTTATATATCATAATATCACTAGTATTTTATCAATAGACATTTTTTTGGCATTTTCCACAGGAATTGAGTTAATTGAGCTCAGAGACAAGACACACCTGTCGGAAATAGAATCAAGGTGACCAGAGCCAAAAACTCCATGAAATCCACATGGTCCGTGATCATCGGAATTGACACATTTCTATGATAACTCTCAAATGAAGGACTGAACAATCTGAAATTAAAAAATAATTTTAGAATCCACAGTAATCCCTTTGCTCACCAACCTCACCGCTTCCTCAGAACTTATCGGTTGAATTTCGTCGGGATCATGAAAGAATGATTCCAAATTTACACAATCTATAAAATCTCCGGAAGGTAGAAACCAAACATCATTCCTTCGTCGTTGACTCGAACGAAATCCAGATTCCAAATTGAGAAATTGAAAATAGAAATGACGAATTAGAACGTCTTTTTGATCAGTGGGAAGGGCTGCATAACCATTAAAGGAGTTGTAAATCCAATCGGAAATCAGATAAAACTCTCTGAGCAAGATTTCAATATTCTGTTTGTAATTAACATATCGTGGAGGTTCATAGAATTGGTAAACTTCTATTCTGTCGAGTTCCAGCTTTTTGTACATTCCGCCAATTTGGTTTAAGAATGGAGTTGGTAGGAATATGGGTTGAAAAATTGGCAATCGTTTTCCGTAGATGTCTCGGTGTTTTTGAACAGCTGAAATGTAAAAAAAGCTTTTCTCGGAGGGCCCTTCTAATAGAGAGGCCCTTCTATTAAAGGGAGACCTTCTAATAGAGGTTTTATGGTATCAAAAAATCTATAGGAAAGGTTTCTTGTTGAAAAACTCACAATCCTTTTTCATCCCAATTGTTTCGCACTTCACGAACCGACATTTTTTGCACATTACCCCTTGCTCTAAAACTAACTAAAGCTTGATTTCTTTTAATGCAATTACAGTACAGGGCAAAATGATATGAACTTTTAGTTTTTCGACTAAAACTTTTTAAAAAATAGAGCTAAAACGTCAATCTTCTCTGTAAAATGTAGCTAATCGTCCGAGAAAAATGATGTGAAAATGGTTTCATCTTGAAAAAAATAAGAAAAAATTATAGCAAAAAAAATTTTTTTTAATTTTGGATTGGATCATTTTTTCAAAAATCTGGAAAAAAATAGAAAACGATTATGAAAGGGAAATATAATATTGGGAACATGAAAAATAGTGTTTGACCAACTTTTAAACAAGTAATACCTCATTAAAGTACAATTCTGCGTATGGTATGAATGTTCAAAGTGTCAACTGAACATTTTCAGCTTCTGGGCTTTTCCTACTACCGTTTCACAATTTCTAATTGTCAACGCTTGGTTATTTTTATGTTTTTATCATTTTTCAAGTGTCATTCCGCAATATCTGATTATTTTTCACGCGGAAAGATGTTTATTTAAGCTCCAAACACCGATTTTATGAATCGTGAGACAAGCTAAAACCAGCATGAAATGTACTTTTAGTCATTCTGGCAGAGTCGGTTGAACGATATCGGAATTTTTTCTTTTAGGTATCAATACTACAGTTCAGTTGAAACCTGAAACACATTATTTCCTGTTGGGGAACGCCCCTGGAAACGCTAAAAACATGTTAAAGTAGATTTTTGGAAGAAAATAATGACATTACAGATTCTGTATCTGTTCCCGAGTGCTCCATATATCAGTTTTTTTGTAAGAACGAGTTGTTGTGATTGTTCAAAGACAATCAAAATAAGATTCCACCACTTTTGAAAACAAATTATCAATCTGACCCAAAACATGAATTTTATAACTTGGACTCTA